GAGTTCATGGTGACCTAACCCTAACCCTAAGTGGAATTTTCCTAAATGGGATTTTCCCATGTATTTTACCAGGAAACAAACATAGTGCAGGCTGGAAAGGTCAGTGCCCTACTAACCATACCCAAGCACTCTGAGTTTGTTGGCAATGTCCATTTTGCTCTACGAGTTCATGGTGACCTAACCCTAGCCCTAAGTGGAATTTTCTTAAATGGGATTTTCCCATGTATTTTATCAGGAAACATAAACAAGGCAGACTGGAATCCTCAGACCCCTCCTAACCATATTCAAGCACTCTATGTTTGTTGGCAATGTCCATTTTGCTCTACGAGTTCATGGTGACCTAACCCTAACCCTAAGTGGAATTTTCCTATATGGGATTTTCCCATGTATTTTACCAGGAAATATAGATAGGGCAGGCTGGAAAGGTCAGTGCCCTCCTAACCATACCCAAGCACTCTGAGTTTGTTGGGTATGTCCACTTTGCTCTACGACTTCATGGTGACCTAACCCTTACCCTAAGTGGAATTTTCCTAAATGGGATTTTCCCATCTACCTTACCAGGAAATATAGATAGGGCAGGCTGGAAAGGTCAGTGCCCTCCTAACCATACCCAAGTAGTCTGAGTTTGTTGGCGAAGTCCATTTTGCTCTAGGAGTTCATGGTGACCTAAACCTAACCCTAAGTGGAATTTTCCTAAATGGGATTTTCCCTTTGTTTTTTCCAGGAAACATACATAGTGCAGGCTGGAAAGGTCAGTGCCCTCCTAACCATACCCAATCACTCCGAGTTTGTTGGCAATGTCCATTTTGCTATACGAGTTTATCGTGACCTAACCCTAGCCCTAAGTGGAATTTTCCTAAATGGGATTTTCCCATGTATTTTATCAGGAAACATAGACAAGGCAGACTGCAATCCTCAGTGCCCTCCTAACCATACCCAAGCACTCTATGTTTGTTGGCAATGTCCATTTTGCTCTACGAGTTCATGATGACCTAACCCTAACCCTAAGTGGAATTTCCCTAAATTGGATTTTCCCATGTATTATACCAAGTAATTTAGATAGGGCAGACTGGAAAGGTCAGTGCCCTCCTAACCATACCCAAGCACTCTCTGTTTGTTGGCAATATCCATTTTGCTCTACGGGTTCATGGTGACCTAACTCTAAGTGGAATTTCCCGAAATGCGATTTTCCCATGTATTTTATCAGGAAACATAGAAAAGGCAGGGTTGAATGATCAGTGCCCTCCTAACCATACCCAAGCACTCTGAGTTTGTTGGCTATGTCCATTTTGCTCTACGACTTCATGGTGACCTAACCCTACCCCTAAGTGGAATTTTCCTAAATGGGATTTTTCCCATGTATTTTACCAGGAAACATAGACAGGGCAGCCTAGAAAACTAAGTGCCCTCCTAACCATATCCAAGCACTCCAAATTTGTTGGCAATGTCAATTTTGCTCTATGAGTTCATGTTGACCTAACCCTAACTCTAAGTTGGATTTTCCTCCAATGGGATTTTCCCATGTATTTTACCAGGAAACATAGATAGGGCAGCCTAGAAAGGTCACTGCCTTCCTAACTACTCCCAAGCACTCCGAATTTGTTGGCATTGTCCATTTTGCTCTATGAGTTCATGGTGACCTAACCTAACCCTAAGTGGAATTTTCCTCCAATGCGATTTTCTCCTGTATTTTACCAGGAAACATAGATAAGGCAGCCTAGAAAGGTCACTGCCTTCCTAACTATACCCAAGCACTCTGAATTTGTTGGCAATGTCCATTTTGCTCTACAAGTTCATGGTGACCTAACCCTAACCCTAAGTGGAATTTTCCTCCTATTGGATTTTCCCATGTATTTTGCCAGGAAACATACATAGGGCAGGCTAGAAACGTCAGTGCCCACCTAACCATACCCAAGCACTCCGAATTTGTTGGCGATGGCCATTTTGCTCTCTGAGTTCATGGTGATCTAACCCTAACCCTAAGTGGAATTTTCCTCCAATGGGATTTTCCCATGAATTTTGCCAGGAAACATAGATAGGGCAACCTAGAAAAGTCAGTGCCCTCCTAACCATACCCAAGGACTCTGAATTTGTTGGCGATGTCCATTTTGCTCTACGCGTTCATGGTGACCTAACCCTAACCCTAAGTGGAATTTTTCTCCTATGGGATTTTACCATGTATTTTACCAGGAAACATAGATAGGGCAGCCTAGAAAAGTCAGTGGTCTCCTAACTATACCCAAGCACTCCGAGTTTGTTGGCGGTGTCCATTTTGCTCTCTGAGTTCATGGTGACCTAACCCTAACCCTAAGTGGAATTTTCCTCCAATGGGATTTTCCCATGAATTTTACCAGGAAACATAGATAGGGCAGGCTAGAAAAGTCAGTGCCCTCCTAACCATACCCAAGGACTCTGAATTTGTTGGCAATGTCCATTTTGCTCTACAAGCTCATGGTGACCTAACCCTAACCCTAAGTAGAATTTTCCTCCTATGGGATTTTCCCATGTATTTTCCCAGGAAACATAGATAGGGCAGGCTAGAAAACTCAGTGCCCTCCTAACCATACCCAAGCACTCCAAATTTGTTGGCGATGGCCATTTTGCTCTCTGAGTTCATGGTGACCTAACCCTAACCCTAAGTGGAATTTTCCTCCTATGGGATTTTCCCATGTATTTTACCAGGAAACATAGATAGGGCAGGCTAGAAAAGTCAGTGCCCTCCTAACCATACCCAAGGACTCTGAATTTGTTGGCAATGTCCATTTTGCTCTACAAGTTCATGGTGACCTAACCCTAACCCTAAGTGGAATTTTCCTCCAATGGGATTTTCCCATGAATTTTGCCAGGAAACATAGATAGGGCAGCCTAGAAAAGTCAGTGCCCTCCTAACCATACCCAAGGACTCTGAATTTGTTGGCAATGTCCATTTTGCTCTACAAGTTCATGGTGACCTAACCCTAACCCTAAGTGGAATTTTCCTCCTATGGGATTTTCCCATGTATTTTGCCAGGAAACATAGATAGGGCAGGCTAGAAACGTCAGTGCCCTCCTAACCATACCCAAGCACTCCGAATTTGTTGGCGATGGCCATTTTGCTCTCTGAGTTCATGGTGATCTAACCCTAACCCTAAGTGGAATTTTCCTCCAATGGGATTTTCCCATGAATTTTGCCAGGAAACATAGATAGGGCAGCCTAGAAAAGTCAGTGCCCTCCTAACCATACCCAAGGACTCTGATTTGTTGGCGATGTCCATTTTGCTCTACGCATTCATGGTGACCTAACCCTAACCCTAAGTGGAATTTTTCTCCTATGGGATTTTACCATGTATTTTACCAGGAAACATAGATAGGGCAGCCTAGAAAAGTCAGTGCCCTCCTAAACCATACCTCAAGCATCGAATCTGTTGGCGATGTCCATTTTCCTGTCCGAGGTCATGGTGACCTAACCCTAACTCTAAGTGGAATTTTCCTCCAATGGGATTTTCCCATGTATTTTACCAGGAAACATAGATAGGGCAGGCTAGAAAAGTCAGTGCCCTCCTAACCATACCCAAGGACTCTGAATTTGTTGGCGATGTCCATTTTGCTCTACGCATTCATGGTGACCTAACCCTAACCCTAAGTGGAATTTTCCTCCTATGGGATTTTCCCATGTATTTTACCAGGAAACATAGATAGGGCAGCCTAGAAAAGTCAGTGCCCTCCTAACCATACCCAATCACTCCGAATTTGTTGGCCTTGTCCATTTTGCTCCCAAGTCAAGAGGTTTTGCATTTCTTTCCATTGTGTGTAGTTAGCTATATTTAGCTAAGTTCTGGAACCTATCCAAGATTATTGGGTGCATCGTTGCTGCCTTCTTAGTTCTTGTGTGTGTGAATGATCTGGAAAGTGTGTTCCATTTTAAACCCCAAACAAGCGTATTGTGTTCTTGGGGTTCTGATGGGCCAATCTAGAGCAGATCCTGGTTCAGCAGAAACGAAATTTAAGAACATTTTTGTTGTTTCAGACATTAGGATTCTGGACCAATTTTATGAATGAGTAAGGTGCATAGTCATCTCTATTCTAAACCTTTCAGCATCTCCCAGTGTAGCATTAGTACTGGTCTGCTCACCAGTAGTACCTTCCTTTCTCTCCCTTCTTTTGCTGTCCCAAGGAGGAGAAAGTGGAGAGGGGGGTCCTTGGTGCTCTCTGAGCTTGGTGGTTTTCTTGCAGACGTTTCATGACCCAACTAGGGAATATCATCAGTGCTAGAAGGAAGAGGTGTTTGTAGGGAGAAGGAGGAGGAGGGGGAGGAGGAGGAGGAGAATGACTGTGGGGTCCTTGGTGCTCTCTGAGCTTGGTGGTTTTCTTGCAGACGTTTCATGACCCAACTAGATAACATCATCAATGCTAGAAGGGTTTGGGTTTGTGGAGAGGAGGAGGAGGAGGAGGACGACGACTGTGAGGTCCTTGGTGCTCTCTGAACTTGGTGGTTTTCACCAGATGTTGCAGATGTTTCATGACCCAACAAGGTAACATCATCAATGTTAGGAGGAAGTGGGGTTATAGGGGAGGAAGGGGAAAAGGAGGAGGGGGGGGACTGTAGGTTCCTTGGTGCTCTCTGAGCTTGTTTATTTTCTTCCTGACTTTTTATGACCCTACTAGGTTACATCATCAGTGCTAGCTAGGACTCCTTGTAGCACTGATGATGTTACCTAGTTGGGTCATGAAACATCTGCAAGAAAACAACCAAGCTCAAGGATCACCAAGGACCCCACAGCCCCCCCCCCTCCTCTTCCTCCTCTTCTCCAAAAAAACACACTACTTCCTAGCACTGATGATGTTGCCCAGTTGGGTCATGAAACGTCTGCAAGAAAACCACCAAGTTGAAGGAGCACCAGGGACCCCTCGTCGTAATGATTCTCCGACGAGTATAATTCTGTGCGGCTGACTCAGAAGAATCACAACAGCATTCATACTTCAGTGTTTTCACTCACTCCTTTTTCTTTTCTTCCCAATTTTAAAACATGGCTTTCTTTTCCATGTTAGCATATGATGGTGATGGAAGACATGTTAAAAGACTTTTTGCTCGGAGAGCATCTTCTTTTAGTGGGCAACCAGGTAAGAGAAATCACATTTTTTTTTTCCCTATCCAATCCATTTTGCGCATTTAAATATTCAAAGCTCTTTATCTGTTCTGCCAACGAGTCAGTTTCCCTGAAATTGTAAGCGTGACTTCCGAATACGGGCCTGCCCTCAATTTAACAACAGTCCATTTAGGGACCGTTCAAAGTTACAACGGCATTGAAAAAAAATGTGACGTACGACCGTTTTCACACTTACGACCGTTGCGGCATCCCCTGATCAAAATTCAGACGCTTGGCCCCTGACTCGTACTTACGACGATCGCCGCGTCCTGGGGTCACATGACCCCTTTTTGGGTCCTTCTGAGAGGCAAACTCAATGGGGAGCGAATTCCACTTAACGACATTACTAACTTAACAACTGCAGTTGTTAAGGAAGGTTGTAAAACGGGGAAAAAGTCCCTTTTTCGCTGAGCAACAGGAATTTTGGGATCAAATAATAGGTGGGAAAGAAATGGAGGTAGTGACAGATTTTATCTTCCTGGGCTCCAAGATCACCACAGATGGGGACTGTAGCCAAGAAATTAAAAGACGCTTGCTCCTGGGGAGGAAAGCTATGGCAAATCTAGACAGCATACTAAAAAGCAGAGACATCACCCTGCCAACAAAAGTGCATATAGTCCAGGCCATGGTTTTCCCACTTGCAATGTATGGCTGTGAAAGTTGGACCATGAGAAAGGCTGAGCGCCAAAGAATAGAGGCCTTTGAGCTATGGTGCTGGAGAAGACTCCTGCGAGTCCCCTGGACTGCAAGGCGACCAAACCGGTCAGTCCTAGAGGAGATCAACCCCGACTCCTCTTGAGAAGGCCAGATCCTGAAGCTGAAACTCAAGTACTTTGGCCATCTAATGGGAAGGAAGGACTCACTGGAGAAGAGCCTGATGCTGGGAAAGATGGAGGGCAAGAGAAGAAGGGGATGACAGAGAAGGAGGTGGCTGGATGGAGTCACTGAAGCAGCAGGCGTGATCTTCAATGGACTCCAGAAGATGATAAAGGACAGGAAGACCTAGAGGAACGTGGTCCATGGGGTCGCGATGGGTCGGACACGACTTCGCAACTAACAACAACAAGCCGAGAACTATCTGCATGTAGCCACGAGGCATTACGGCCGTTAACTCTACAGCAAATCAACCTTCCCTTTTGATTAAAAAAATGATGCAATTAAACTCTTTTGTTTGCAAGGAGTTCGGTGAGTTAATAATGGTTTTAAGTGGGATGTAGCCTGATCATCATCCTTTTTGTATTTACCTGGGATGTCGTGGCCTGGAGTTTTAGTGCCAGAAACTGAGGACGATTCTCATTTTAGCTGGCAAATTGAGTTCCTTTGTAGAGACTGTTCCACGCTATCTTCCCCTCTAAAATATCCCTCATTGTGGTTGCCTTGTTGTTGCAGGGTGTGGGGAAAAATAAAGTGGTCGACAGATTCCTCCAGCTGTTAAATCGACCCAGAGAATATTTGCAGCTGCACAGGTGAGCCGAGCTTTGGAGGGTGGGATTCTTGCTGTCAACATTTGGAGTTAGGCAAAAGGCTTTTTAAAAAATATTTATTTATCTTTCATATTTCTTAACTGCCCACTCCTTCAGAGTAGGGCTCTGTTTTCTCTTCAGATTGCAGTTAAGGGAGTGGGCAGTTAAGAAATATGAAAGATAAATAAAGCTTAAAAAGATTTTAGAAAACTATCACATATATAATGTGAAAAGAAATCAGATTCCCTCTCTGAGGGAGTGGGCAGTTAAGAAATATGAAAGATAAAGGTTAAAAAATATTTTAGAAAACTACTATATATATAATCTGAAGAGAAACCAGAAATGTCAAATTAACTCAAGCAGTGGCATATTAAGAAAACTTACATAAAATGTTTTACAGATGGCATAGGAGACCAGTGAGATTAGCAAAAATGTTTAAAAATACTTGCAATAAGTGTTGGAAATGCAAACAAGACCAGGTAAGGTACTTATTACCATATCTGGTGGACATGCCCTGAGGCAAAAAGATTTTGCTTAAAAATACATTTATGGTTGGAGAAAATGACTAAAAAAATAAATAGACTTTAAGCCAGAATTAGTTTAGTAAGGAATAATAGGAGCAAATTATGAGAAAGTTTGTATGTATTTAATTCCACACCTACTAACTGCAGCAAGAATTGTATTTGCCCAACATTGGAAAAATGAAAATTTATCAACTGAAGAAGAATTAATTAAGGAAAAATTTAAGAGTGTGCAGAAATGGACAGATTGACTTTAAAGAGAAAAGAGAAAGAAGACAGTATATTTTAGAACATGGGATAATTTCTATCAATGGCTAGAAAAACCAGTTAGAGAGAAAGGAATGTGATATGTAACTTTGAATATATATTAGCAAGAAGACCATCGAGCAATTAAATAACATATTGTTTATGGTAATTAACTATTGTCTATTAATTTTTGTTAAACACATGAACTCCATTATATATATATAATGTGAAGAAAAATCTCCCTGAGGGAGTGGGCAGTTAAGAAATATGAAAGATAAATAAAAGTTAAAAATATTTTAGAAAACTATTACATATATAATGTGAAGAGCAACTGGAACCCCTCTCTGAGGGAGTGGGCAGTTGAGAAATATGAAAGATAAATAAAAGTTAAAAATATTTTAGAAAACTATTACATATATAATGTGAAGAGCAACTGGAACCCCTCTCTGAGGGAGTGGGCAGTTGAGAAATATGAAAGATAAAGGTTAAAAATATTTTAGAAAACTATTACATATATAATGTGAAGAGAAATCTCCCTGAAGGAGTGGGCAGTTAAGAAATATGAAAGATAAATAAAGGTTTAAAATATTTTAGAAAACTATTATATATATAATGTGAAGAGCAACTGGAACCCCTCTCTGAGGGAGTGGGCAGTTAAGAAATATGAAAATATAAATAAAGGTTAAAAATATTTTAGAAAACTATTACACATATTATGTGAAGAGAAACCAGAATGTCTCTCTGAGGGAGTAGACTGATATGAAATATAAATAAACATTAAACATATTTTTAAAAACTGCTTTTATATACATACATATGCATACACAGAAACACACACACACACACACACAAAATCTGAAGAGAAACCAGAGCCCCCCTCTGTGGAAGTGGGGGAGTTATATATACAGGTAGTCCTTGACTTACAAGCATTCGTTTAGTGACCGTTCAAAGTTACAACGGCACTGAAAAATGGGATTTAACGACCATATTTCACTCTCATGACCGTTGTAATATCCCACGGTCACGTGATCAAAATTCAGACAGTTGGCAACTGGCATGTACTTAACGACAGTTCGTTTTACGCAGGGAGTTGCTTAACAACTGTGGCAAAATAGCCCTAGCAATAGCACTTATATACCGCTTCACAGTGCTTTTTTACAGCCCTCTCTAAGGGGTTTAAAGGGTCAGCATATGAGCCCCCAACCCTCTGGGTCCTCATTTTTACCGATCTCGGAAGGACGGAAGGCTGAGCCCACCTTGAGCTGGTCAGGATCGAACTTCCTGGCGGTGGGCAGAGTCAGCCGGGACTATGGCAATACTCCGTTAACAACGGCCTCACGTAGCAGTGGAGATTCTGGCCCCCATTGTCGCAAGCCAGGGGCTACCTGTACTACAGATCCACTAAGGCACTTAGATTCCTCCGACTGGACTCAAAACACCAGCTTTTAATGTTAGGGCTTTAAATGGCCCCTGCTGGCCTTTGGAAAAGGGAACACTCGGTGACCGGCAGAAGTGATTAAAAGAGAAGAAAAATGTATGCTGCCTCCCGTTGTGAATCAGGGAGTAGAAAATAGCACAGCATGTTTGCAAATGCAACTTCCCCTCCCTCCCTCCCTCCCCACTTTCCCCAATGCACTGAGGTGCTCAGCTGGGATCCGTGACTAGAAGCCTGTCCCTGATTTGCCGCCCTAGGGACACCACCGTGCAGAGCCTGACGCTTCAGCCGTCCGTGAAAGAGGGCCTGATTGTGTACGAGGACTCTCCACTCGTAAGTCTCTTGCAAGGGGCGACTGGGTTGCTGCTTCCGTCGTTAAAATCTGAGAGAACCCATGCGCTCGTGGGGCAGGCCCCTCTGCGTGGAGTCCCTGGTAAATCCAGGGTTCACGTTGTAAGAAGACTGTCCCCTAAATAAATTAGGTTATTATAATTTATAAGATAGGTAGGTAGGTAGGTAGGTAGGTAGATACAGATAGATACAGTAGATAGATAGATAGATAGATAGATAGATAGATAGATAGATAGATAGATAGATAGATAGATAGATAGATAGAGAAAGGAAAGAAAGAAAGAAAGAAAGAAAGAAAGAAAGAAAAAGAAAGAAAGAAAGAAAGAAAGAAAGAAAGAAAGGTGGATGGATGGATGGATGGATGGATGGATAAAAAAGGTAGGTGGATGGAGAATAGATAGAAAAAGAAAAGAAAGAAAGACGTATAGGTGGATAGATGGATGGATAGATAGATAGTAGATAGATAGCTAGAGAAAGAAAAAGAAAGAAAGAAAGAAAAGAAAGAAAGAGAAAGAAAAAGAAGGAAAGAAAGAAAGAAAGAAAGAAAGAAAGGTGGATGAATGGATGGATAAAAAAGGTAGGTGGATGGAGAATAGATAGAAAAAGAAAAGAAAGAAAGACATATAGGTGGATGGATGGATAGATAGTAGATAGATAGAGAAAGAAAAAGAGAAAGAAAGAAAGGTGGATGGATGAATGGATGGATAAAAAAAGTAGGTGGATGGAGAATAGATAGAAAAAGAAAAGAAAGAAAGACGTATACGTGGATAGATGGATGGATAGATAGATAGTAGATAGATAGATAGATAGATAGATAGATAGATAGATAGATAGATAGATAAAAAAGGATAGGTGTATGGGTAAGTGGATGGATAGAGAGATAGTAGATAGATATAGATTGGATGGATTGGTAGAAAGAAGAAAGAGAAAAGAGGATAGATAGATAGATAGATAGATAGATAGATAGATAGATAGATAGATGAAAAAAAGAGGATAGGTGGATAGATGGATGGACGGACGAATGGACGGACGGATAGACGGACAGACAGTTTTCTTCTGATCCACATTCATCAAATTTGTGAAATAGATATTTTTCTTTTTTGGGGGGGATGACCTAGGAATATCTTTGCTTGGCTTGCCTTGTCCATAATAATAATAAAAGTAGCCTTCATATCAGAATGGGAACCCACTGTGTTGCATCTAGGCTGGAAAGACTAGATTTCTAATATTAGTAATATTTTTTTTCCCCGCCAACGTTTGTCTCATCCCAATCATCTCTTTCTAGGTGAAAGCTGTCAAAAAGGGGCACATCCTCATGATTGACGAGGCAGACAAGGCACCCACAAACGTCACCTGCATTTTGAAAACTTTGGTGGAGAGCGGAGAGATGATTCTGTCCGACGGGAGACGCATTGTTTCTAGTAAGCCGTCCCAGAGAGAAAGTCTTCCAGTAGCTGACTTTCTTACGGATTAATAAATTAAGAGCTGTTAATAACATAACTGGAGATGTAATTTTCTTCAGAGAAATGGAGGGCTTTAGTGATTAATTAATAGTAATTTGTAGTATCCTTTGATAAGCAAGTCATTGCTTTCCGGAATAAAGTCTTAATCAGATTGAAAAGGCTGTTTTTGTTTGTCTAATCTTCCAGATGCTGATGCTGCAGATGGGAGAAAAAATGTCATAGTAATGCATCCGGATTTTAGGATGGTTGTTTTAGCAAACAGGCCGGGATTCCCTTTCTTGGGAAATGACTTTTTTGGAACACTTGGTAAGTCACACACACTTGATTAAAAGCTGCTATTTTATGGTCCTGTCTATGAAAAGATGCTACTTTCGTTTCACTAGTCTGGTTGCAGGGGGGACGGACGGACCTCAAAGTGTAGGTGTATTAAAACCGTTTCTTTATTTTAGACTCTCTTGCTCCTTTGCTTTTTGGGAAAAGAAATATGTATTTTGGGCCATGCGTAATTTTTCCTAGAAAAATGTTTTTTTCAAAAAAAAAAAAAAAATAAGCTCCATTCTGAAGGGCTAGTAGTAGCGTAGTAAGAAAGCTAAGCTTATTTTCTTCAAAAATTTAAAGTATGTATTTTAGTCCAAGGGTGTAGGTCTGTTCCAGGGGTAGGCAACCTTGGCTCTTTTATGACTTGGGGACTTCAACTCCCAGAATTCCTGAGCCAGCCACGCTGAGGGGAAGGGGAGAGGTTTCCAAGCTGAGCCATGATGGCTCAGGAATTCTGGGAGTTGAAGTCCACGAGTCATGAGGGGGCCATAGTTCCCCCACGCTGGCTGAGGAATTCTGGGAGTTGAAGTCCACGAGTCATGAGGGGGCCATAGTTCCCCCACGCTGGCTGAGGAATTCTGGGAGTTGAAGTCCACGAGTCATGAGGGGGCCATAGCTCCCCCATGCTGGCTGAGGAATTCTGGGAGTTGAAGTCCACGAGTCATAAAAGAACCAAGATTGCCTAACCCTGGTCTATACATATGTTGCATATAGTGTGTTTTAAATGTGGGTTGTGTATGTGTAATTTTGAGAACAAGCACCTAAATTTCATTTTTAATGTGTGCCATTGTGCCCCCAGGAATAAATGACAATAAAGGTTACCTAATCTAAAATTATTTTTTTTTTTCAAAAAAATGAATATGAGTAAAAAAATAAGCTTCTTGCTGAAGGGCTAGTCGTAGTTGTAGTAAGCAAGCTAAGCTTAAACCTCTTGTGTTTTCTTTAAAAGTTTAAAATATTTCGCAGCACCCCTGTGAGTTCACTCTAGTACACTACAGTGCAAAGTCTTCTTCTTTATTAAGTACTATAAATGAATTGAGGCCTTTGAACTATGGTGCTGGAGAAGACTCCTGTGAGTCCCCTGGACTGCAAGGCAATCAAACTGGTCAGTCCTAGAGGAGATCAACCCCGACTGCTCTTGAGAAGGCCAGATCCTGAAGTTGAAACTCAAAGACTTTGGCCACCTCATGAGAAGGAAGGACTCCATGGAGAAGAGTCTAATGCTGGGAAAGATGGAGGGCAAGAGAAGAAGGGGACGACAGAGAAGGAGGTGGCTGGATGGAGTCACTGAAGCAGTAGGCGTGAGCTTCAATGAACTTCAGAAGATGGTAGAGAACAGGAAGGCTTGGAGGAACGTTGTCTATGGAGTCGCGATGGGTCGGACACGACTTCGCGACTGACAAACAAATGAATTAACCTATTGGATGCCATTTTCTCCTTTCTTCTTCTTGCCTCTTCCAGGAGACATATTTAGCTGTCATGCAGTTGATAACCCAAAACCAAACTCAGAACTAGCCATGCTTCGACAGTACGGGCCCGATGTCCCAGACTCAGTTCTCCAGAAACTGGTAGCAGCTTTTGGAGAGCTGCGAAGTTTGGCCGACCAAGGAATTATCAATTATCCTTACTCAACTCGAGAAGTCGTGAACATTGTCAAGCATTTACAGGTAGTGTATGACTGTTCCTAATACTGGACTGTTCACTAATCAATTATTATTTGACTTTAAAGGCTATTTTTAACCTTTGGAAAGCCTGGCGTGTTTCAGAAGATGTTTCTAAGGATGCTTTCGCCTTTGATGTCACCAAATCTTAAAGAAACGTGTCCTCATTGAGATAGAAGCAGGGACTCTTTTTGTGTCCTTCCTCGTTCAATTAATTATGAATGGCTTAATTCAGTGGTTCTCAACCTGTGGGTCGGGACCCCATTTGGGGTCGAACGACCATTTCACGGGGGTCGCCAAACAAGGCTGTCCGCCATTTTTTCCCCCTTTTCTTTGGCCACGCCCCTGGCACCCGGTGATGTATAAGTGGTTGGGGGTCACCACAACATGGGGAACTGTATTGTGGGGTCGCCGCATTAGAAAGTTTGAGAACCACTGGCTTAATTTCTGATTTTTTGGATCGGTGTGAATCCAAGCTGTGTCATGTTCCTTTTGTTGGGTTGTGGGTTGCTCCAACACTGGAGTTTTTAAACAAGCGTTTGGACAACCATTTCTCCGAAACGGTGTAGGGTTGATCAGGGGGTGGGTGGGACTAGAAGACCTCCAAAGTCCCTTCCAGCTCTCTTATTCTCTTACTCCCTTCCTGTAAGTGAAAAGAGTAGAATTCTTCCCGATATGGTTGCATTGTTTTGTGCCCTGAAAAATCCCATACAATTCAAAGAGAGTCTTCTCTTCATCCTGTTTGGTTGCCTGTGTTGTTAAAAAGAAAAAGATTTAGCCTCTAAACCCCTCGTCTAACTTGATTCCTCATCCTTGCTCTCTTTCTGGTTCCTCAGTATCTTTATTTCACTGAGGTGTGACACAGTATTTCAGGTGTAGTTGGTCAGTGGGACCAGTAGAACATAGAGCAAATGGTGTGGGAGTACCGTGGCGCGTGAGTTCCTCATCGTTGTCCTGCTCCTGACTAATTGATCAATTAAACCAGCATTTCTCGACCGTAGCGATTTTAAGATGTGGAGAGTTCAACTCCTTGAAGTCCCAAGCCAGCATGGCTTGCTGGAGAAATCGGAAACTTGAAGTCTAGGCATCTTAAAATTGCCAACTTTAAGAAATACTGAATTAAAAGCCATCTGCCAAGTGTCTTAACCTGTAGGAGAAGGAGTGGCAGAACCCGGGGCTGGAGTTAAAAGAGGGATCAACCTAGAATCCCTAAGTAGTCACAAGTGAACTAAAGTCCAACTCTCTTTGAGTGCCCTTGCCTCTTATCTAGCTTTAACCAGGTGCTGATCATTAGTTGAGAAGGCAGGACAAGAAGCAACGGATGGAAACTAAGCAAGGAGAGAAGCAACCTAGAACTAAGGAGTAACTTCCTGACAGTTAGAAGAATTAACCAGTGGAACAACCTGCCTCCAGAAGCGGTAAATGCTCCAACACTGGAAGTCTTTAAGAAGAGACTGGACAGCCATTTGTCCGAAATGGTATAGGGTTTCCTGCCTGAGCAGGGGGTTGGACTAGATGACCTCCAAGGTCCCTTCCAACTTTATTATTATCATTCCTGTTCATAGGCTTTTAGCAGTAAATTGACTGGATTGAACCTTCACAGGTGGACTTTCACACCTGATATAACCAGACATGGAAACCAGACCCAATGTCTTGAATATCTGGCATCAGAGCTGGCTGTTTAAGAATACGTCTACCGAATAGTTCTTTACGTGGCATATGCTGCATTTTCAGAAGATTCTAGCTTTTTCTTTCAAGTATCTCCCAGTATCTTAAATAGTTAAAAAGAAGGAAAAGATCCTGGAAGGCTTGTTTATGCCAAAGAACCGTCATGATTGAACAAGCTGGAGGCTGAACTGTTCCATAAATGAATCTAAAAATAACTAAGGAATGGACATAATTATGACATTAAAGCAAGGGACGGTCTTAATTCACACACACACTTCAGTTTCTGGTTTGAATTCAGTCTTGGCTTAACCTCAAGTGCTTCCCAGGGATCTGGATCAAGGGATTCACTGGATTTATTTAGATTTTCTTCAACCAGTAGCACGCAGAAACAAACGTCATTGTTTAGGACACAGAGGCATTCCCCCCCCCCCAGTGTCTAGCAGGTAATGGGAACCAGTTGGGATGAAAGGAAGGAGGGAAGTGATACAATCTCACAGCTTGGGAACAGAGGAAGGAAGTTTAAATCATTACACAATATCTGTTTCTATACTTGTAGGGCTCTGCTAAGCGTTCCTCTGCGAAATCAGGGTGTTTTATACATATACATATATGTGTGTGTGTGTGTGTGTGTATACACACATATACACACACACATATACACATACATACATACACACACACACACACACACACACACACACACACACACACACAAATGTAATCAGTTTTAGTTGAAAGGTATTTATACTGCTGGCAAGCAAAGTCAGCTTCAGGATGTGCCTCTTCACAGCCTGATTTATTTAGCTATCAAATCCAGCTGATCACCGATGGTTCAGATTTTCTCTCTGGTTCGCAACCGAATAAATGCTTCATTTGTAAGTCTGAAAAGGAGAGGAGAAAAATGTGCCTTGGAAAAATTGGACATCCCTTCATACAAGGAGCTTTGTATGACCTCAAGCTAACCTATTCTCATGTAGTAGCTGTTTTCATTCACATCATGTTTGGGCTATGTGGGTGTCACAGTCCAGAATAACAGAGTCGGAAGGGACCTTGGAGGTCTTCTAGTCCAACCCCCTGCTCAGGCAGGAAACCCTATACCGGGGTAGGCAACCTTGGCTCTTTTATGACTGGTGGACTTCAACTCCCAGAATTCCTGAGCCAGCCACGCTGAGGGGAAAGGGAGAGCTTTCCATGCTGCGCCATGGCTGGCTCAGAATTCTGGGAGTTGACGTCCACGAGTCATAAAAGAGCCAAGGTTGCCTACCCCTGCCCTATACCATTTCTGACCAATGGTTGTCCAGTCTCTTCTTAAAAACCTCCAGTGATGGAGCACCCACAACTTCTGGAGGCAAGGAGTTCCATCAGTTAATTGTTCACACTGTTAGGAAATTTCTCCTTAGTTCTAGCTTCCATCCGTTCCTTCTTGTCTTGTCCTCGGGTGCTTCGGAGCATGGGCTGACCCCTTCTGTTCAAAATTTTGGATATTCCTTTTTTTCCCCCCTACAAAATGATCGTTAAGGAGGAAAGTAGACCACTGCAGTACAGAGTGCCTTTTGATTTGGAAAGTCTTAGGATGGAAGTAGCTAGGGATCAGTTCCAATACCACAGTTAACACAGTCCGTTAGTAATGCAATCAGATTTCCTTACCGGTCGCTGTGGGCAGTAATAGAATCGCAAGGTTGCATCAAAAGTCCCCAAAATAAATAACGCTCGGAAAGTTTAATCTCCGAAATTGTCTCCAATAATGTCTTCTTCCTATCTTTCTTCCTGTAGCAGAAGAGCAGGCAGAGAAGAGCTGGGGCTGGAGTGAAATGCAGCATCGGCTCAGAATCCTTACGTTGTCACAAATGGTCATCAAATCCAATCCCTCTTGAACGCCATTGCCCCTTATCTGGCGCCAATTTGATCTGAATTTTCATTGACCAGATTCTGGTATCTAACCTTGAGCAATAAACCTCCTAACTGCAACTCAGTGTATGGTCCCGATCCTTTGCACCCAACATTCCCTCACGTTCCCGAAAAAAAAGTTTGAAGGGAAAGAGAGGGGAAGAGGTGCCATTGTGTGAGCAGGACATTGGATATAGCCCTCTGAATGCAAGGGTTTGTTTGTTTAAAAGACCACACAATTTGAAGTTATAATAATAATAGTAGTAGTAAAGTTGGAAGGGACCTTGGAGGTCATCTAGTCCAACCCCCTGCTCAGGCAGGAAACCCTACACCATTTCGGACAAATGGCTGTCCAGTCTCTTCTTAAAAACTTCCAGTGTTGGAGCATTTACTGCTTCTGGAGGCAGGATGTTCCACTGATTAATTGTTCTCACTGTCAGGAAGTTTCTCCTTAGTTCTAGGTTGCTTCTCTCCTTGATTAGTTTCCACCCGTTGCTTCTTGTCCTGCCTTCAAGTTGTTGTCCCATCACTCCTAATTAAATAGCCCATTCATAATTTCCCCTTGAAATGTATAAAGGCTTGACAAACACGTTTCTAGGTATTGCAATCCACGGAGAAGTGGGTGGCAAACACCTAGATTTGCGTGTGTGTTGTGTAAGGGAACCTCTGTGAGCTTTCAAGTCACACTTTCCATCACCCACAACAAACTCAACGCTTTGTTTTTTGTTTGTTTTTTTTTCTTCTGTCCCTTTCTTAATCTCCGCAGAAGTTTCCGACAGAAGGACTTGCGAACGTGGTCCGGAACGTCTTCGATTTTGACTCCTACAACAAAGAAATGCGTGAGATATTAATTAGCACGTTGCATAAACACGGAATACCTATCGGTGCCAAGGCCGACAACGTACAGATGGCCAAGGAGTAAGGTTCATTGTCTGCTGTATTTGCTGCTAGTTGTAAAAACCTGGAACGCTTGAAGCAAAATTCCGTGTGTATTTTCCTCCGGAATGGTCATCCACTTGCATAATTATTTATTTATACAACACGATCGGCGTACATTTACGGGATACATCAATATGTTCGAATGGAGGAGTTGTTTGTTTTTTTTAAAAAAAAATCTAATTAACATGGGTGATTTGTGCAATGGAAATAAATAAAGGGAAATATTTGTTTTGATTCTTTTCGGTTTCTATTCATTGATTGGTCTTTTCCTAATTTATCGTTGTCCTGCGGGCAAAGCTTGGTTTGTAACTTTTTTTTTTTTAAATGGAAATGAAGTGAATTGACTTGGCTTTTAAATCCGGCACGAGACACTTTCCCCAAAGTACTGTGGAAATTCAGATTAAAAGATCTCGATTCAACAGGTCTTGCCTGGCACCTGTCAAATTTATCTGGTGGTTAACATCATTTTGTAATGATGTCATTACAGCAACCACGCAAATCACCCTGCTGACGCATTTTCGTATTTTAACAGAAGTTCGTGAATAACAGACATTGTTTCCTCCAATTGGACGACCAAAACAAAATTTTCTTTCTGCTGCCTTGCATTAATTCCAAACTGTGTCAAGGTATCTAGTTTGCTTAATGTTATTTATGGAGACCCTGTTTTATGGGATGCTTATTTACTGAACATCAGATACCTGGATGTCTATAAATAATAATAATAGTAGCACTGTAGGAGTATGTTACAGGGTCGCATTTTTACGCTCAAACCATAGCAACCTGGAGAAACCATCTTAAATTAAAACAAGTATTTCCCTGTATGCTTGCAAAGGTTATGCGAAACAGACTTGTAAAAGCTGGTTCTGTTGTTTGTCTGTTTTTTGAGATAAGTCCACTTTTTTCGCTATAGATCTCATTCAGTGGTTAGTGAATAAACCATCTCTAGAATCATCCTTAACTCGAGAGATGTAAAATCTCGCAGACAGAATTACAGATATTTATTCAATTACTTCCCACTCCTCTGAAATATGCTAGTTTTAAAACCTGCCTCCAAGAAACCATTGAACTATGGCTTAGTTAATAGTTATAATATTGCTCTGTATACCATTTCAGTGTGGCATATGAACATTTCTTAGGCAATATTACCAGTTGTTTAAACTTCCATCCATTTTGCCTTCGTACTTTAGTAGCCTTATTATCTCTTTTTCCCCTTAAAGATTCCCGGTTTAAGTTAGAGCGGATCTTATCCTTTTTGTCCTGTTTATGAAAAAGCAACTAGATTGAGTGAGTAATGTACAAGTGATACACGAAGGAGTCATTGCTCACCGTTTCCCCTGAATTTCCAGTAAAGGGAAGCTGTGTCTTTGTGGATTCTCACATTCCTGACTGTTTGAGACTCAGTAGCAAAAAAAAGTATTGTCGACTCAAGAGAAATGTCTGCCAAATTAATCACAGTGATATTTTTCTGGTCAGATTGCCATTGCCGGATACAAAATTTATGGGCTATTGGAAAATCAATCATTTGGGGAAATCGCGACGAAGGCTGTTGTGTCCTACTGAAACTCATCGCGTAGACGTGAAGGTCTGTGAGACTGAGTACAAGCTTAAGGTTGATAGGGGAGAATATGTGTAGCTGGGGGTTGAAATGAGGGGTCCTTGGTGCTCTCTGAGCCTGTTGGTTTTCTTGCAGACGTTTCATGACCCAACTGGGTAACATCATCAGTGCTAGAATGGGAGGGGGATTTATGGAGAGGAGGAGGTGGAAGTGGACTGTGGGGTCCTTGGTGCTCTCTAAGCTTGGTGGTTTTGTTGCAGACGTTTGATGACCCAACTAAGGAACATCATCAGTGTTGATGCTGTTTGGGTAATGAAATGTCTGCAAAACACACACACAAACATACAAAGAACCATGGAATGACTTCCTGATTAGGGGTGATGATTTTCAAATTAAAGAAAGAAGATGTGAGTGGCTGGATCACAAGTGATTTATTATAGTAAAGAAATATGCAGAAGTCTAAAGTGGACAGCCCAGAATGGGTGATTCTAAAACCCTACAATGATGGTGACTTAAACGTAGCATACCTACATTTCGACCCTTCCATTGTGGTTTATTTCGTGGACACATTAAGGGCGAGGAGCAGAGGCAAAAGATTGCCATTTTGAGTTTTAACCCTTCCTAAACTCCAAAGATCCCCCGCGATCATTTCAACCCTTTTGGCACGAGTGTTTTACCGGCCACATTGTCGCTTCATCTCCTACCCCTGTCACTGCCCGAATTCGTCTTCCAAATAGCTTCTGCAGTCACGACATAAGCCTAAGACTGAAAATCAGGCTCGTCAGATGCTATATTTTTTCTCTCCTGCTCCGTGGAGTAGAGAGTTGGTCTCTGACAGAAAGCCACCTGAAGAGACTAGAATCGTGGATTGACAGGTGGCTGTTACGTAGAAGCTGGGCTGACAAGATCAGAAACGAGGAGGTGATCAGCCGCCTGGGAAAGCCGAGGGAAATCGTCAACACAATTAAAAAACGAAAATTAGACTATTTCGGACATGCGATGCGACACCCAGAAAAATTCGGCCTACTCCATTTAATCCTCCAGGGAAAGATGGAAGGCAAATGAGGTCCAGGCAGAAGAAGAACATTGTGGCTTCCAAATCTAAGGGACCGGTTTGGACAAAACTCAGCAGCACTTTTTCATGCGGCGGCTGATAAAAACAGGATCGCCAATGTCCGATAATGGATAGGGCACAAGACAAAGAAGAAGAAATAGCTTTCAATTCCGCATTAGCTCTTTCAACAGCTGAACGCACCAACCGGTCCTCTAGACAGAACTCAGCAGCACAGGCAGTCCTCGCCTTACAACAGTCCCTTTAGTGACCATTCCAAGTTACTACAGCACTGAAGGAAATGACTTACGACCGTTTTTCACACACTTAACGACCGTTGCAGCCTCCCCATAATCACGGGATTAAAATTTGGACGCTTGGAAACTGACTCGTATATATGACAATTACACTGTCCCGGGGTCACCCGATCCCCTTAATAATAATAATGTTGGAAGGGGCCTTGGAGATCATCTAGTCCAACCCCTGCTCGGGCAGGAAACCCTATACCATTTCAGACAAATGGCTGTCCTAGTCTCTTCTTAAAAACCTCCAGTGTTGGAGAAAGGAAGGAGGAAGGAAGGAAGGAAGGAAAAGAATAACAGAATAACAGACTCAGAAGGGACCTTGGAGGTCATCTAGACCAACCCACTGCTCGGGCAGGAAACCCTATACCATTTCAGACAAATGGCTGTCCAGTCTCTTCTTAAAAACCTCCAGTGTTGGAGAAAGGAAGGAGGAAGGAAGGAAGGAACGAAAAGAATAACAGAATAACAGACTCAGAAGGGACCTTGGAGGTCATCTAGACCAACCCACTGCTCGGGCAGGAAACCCTATACCATTTCAGACAAATGGCTGTTCAGTCTCTTCTTAAAAACCTCCAGTGTTGGAGAAAGGAAGGAGGAAGGAAGGAAAAGAATAACAGAATAACAGACTCAGAAGGGACCTTGGAGGTCATCTAGTCCAACCCTTGCTCAGGCAGGAAACCCTATACCATTTCAGACAAATGGCTGTCCAGTCTCTTCTTAAAAACCTCCAGTGTTGGAGAAAGGAAGGAGGAAGGAAGGAAGGAAGGAAAAGAATAACAGAATAACAGACTCAGAAGGGACCTTGGAGGTCATCTAGACCAACCCACTGCTCGGGCAGGAAACCCTATACCATTTCAGACAAATGGCTGTTCAGTCTCTTCTTAAAAACCTCCAGTGTTGGAGAAAGGAAGGAGGAAGGAAGGAAAAGAATAACAGAATAACAGACTCAGAAGGGACCTTGGAGGTCATCTAGTCCAACCCTTGCTCAGGCAGGAAACCCTATACCATTTCAGACAAATGGCTGTCCTAGTCTCTTCTTAAAAACCTCCAGTGTTGGAGAAAGGAAGGAGGAAGGAAGGAAGGAAGGAAAAGAATAACAGAATAACAGACTCAGAAGGGACCTTGGAGGTCATCTAGACCAACCCACTGCTCGGGCAGGAAACCCTATACCATTTCAGACAATGGCTGTCAGTCTCTTCTTAAAAACCTCCAGTGTTGGATAAGAGGAAGGAAGGAAGGAAGGAAAAGAATAACAGAATAACAGACTCAGAAGGGACCTTGGAGGTCATCTAGACCAACCCACTGCTCGGGCAGGAAACCCTATACCATTTCAGACAAATGGCTGTTCAGTCTCTTCTTAAAAACCTCCAGTGTTGGAGAAAGGAAGGAGGAAGGAAGGAAAAGAATAACAGAATAACAGACTCAGAAGGGACCTTGGAGGTCATCTAGTCCAACCCTTGCTCAGGCAGGAAACCCTATACCATTTCAGACAAATGGCTGTCCAGTCTCTTCTTAAAAACCTCCAGTGTTGGAGAAAGGAAGGAGGAAGGAAGGAAGGAAGGAAGGGAGGGAGGGAGGGAGGGGAGGGAGGGAGGGAAGGAAGGAAGGAAGGAAGGAAGGAAGGAAAAGAATAACAGAATAACAGACTCAGAAGGGACCTTGGAGGTCATCTAGACCAACCCACTGCTCAGGCAGGAAACACTATACCATCTCAGATAAATTACTGTCCTAGTCTCTTTTTAAAAACCTCCAGTGTTGGAGAAATGAGGGAGGGAGGGAAGGAAGGAAGGAAGGAAGGAATAACAGAATAACAGACTCGGAAGGGACCTTGGAGGTCATCTAGACCAACCCCTGCCCAGGCAGGAAACCCTATACCATTTCAGACAAATAGCTGTCCTAATCTCTTCTTAAAAACCTCCACACACCCACAACTTCTGGAGGCAGGTTGTTCCCCTGATTAATTGTTCTCCCTACCAGGAAATTTCTCCTTGGTTCTAATTATCTTGCATCCTGTAGTTATCTTGCTTCAGCTAGCCCGCTTGGCAAGATTTGTTAAGAAGCTTGTTTTGTTTCGTCTCAGTTGTGGGTTTCAGGACTCTTCGTTTTTCATTTCTCTTAGGGTCCGATATATTTAAACGTGCAGGCCTTCCCTCTGGAAAGACACGAAGGCAGAGCCTTGAGTTTTACAGAAGAGCTAGCATTCTGGACCCTGCCTTTGAACCAGGTGAACCTAGTCTGTGATGTGGCGTCACAAGGTAGAGTATGCGCTTTCTTTCTCGGTGAACAAGTAATGCTTTAGAAGCCGTGCAAGTAATCTAAACGGATATTTTTGTTGTTAATTGCAAAGTCGTGTCCGACCCATTGTGACCCCATGGACCACGTTCCTCCAGGCCTTTCCGTCCTCTACCATCTTCTGGAGTCCATTTAAACTCACGCCTCCTGCTTCAGTGACTCCATCCAGCCGCTTCATTCTCTGTCATCCCCTTCTTCTCCTGCCCTCCATCTTTCCCAGCATTAGGCTCTTCTCCAGGGAGTCCTTCCTTCTCATTAGGTGGCGAAAGAACTTGAGTTTCCACTTCAGGATCTGGCCTTCCAAAGAGCAGTCAGGGTTGATCTCCTCCAGGACTGACCGGTTGGATCGCCTTGCCGTCCAGGGGACTCGCAGGAGTCTTCTCCAGCACCAGAGTTCAAAGGCCTCCATTCTTTGGCACGCAGCCTTTCTTATGGTCCAACTTTCACAGCCATACATTGCAACTGGGAAAACCATGGCCTGGACTGTACCCACTTTTGTTGGCAGGGTGATGTCTCTGCTTTTGAGTATGCTGTCTAGATTTGCCATAGCTTTCCTCCCCAGGAGCCAGCGTCTTCTAATTTCTTGGCTGCAGTCCCCATCTGAGGTGATCTAAACGGATATTAGTATGAATTATTTTGCTCGCAAATTAAGACTGTCGTTTTGCATGCTTTCTCTCTGATGTGGTTGCCCATTAAGCACAACTCTTAACAGCACATCACTTCCCTCTTTAAAGAGTGAACTGTATAGGGCAAACCTGCTGCAGAATAATCCTTATTTAGTCCCCCATGCTGCCTTTACTAATCCTTTCCCCAGCTAGAGAGAATCACCCAGAGGATCAATCATAATTGCCTCCCATCCACGAGGAGTCTTCCAGACACTTGTCAAAAATGTGGTAATGCGCATTAAACCGGCATTGAGCCGATCCTCTCGTGGACAAGATAATTTTGCATACCTGTGCTAGCTTAGGATAGTATTTGCTTCCCAGAAATAGAGGAAATTGCTGCAATTCAGCTGAGGCCAGAATGTGGCACGAATACCGAAAATTTCAACCACAGCCAAATTGGGCAGCTGGCCAGGCTCGTGACTTACCAACTTACAACAGTAAAGGAGAAAATGTGTAGCTCAGGGTTGAAATGAGGGATCCTGGCTGCTCTCTGAGCTGGGTGGTTTTCTTGCAGACGTTTCATCACCCAACTAGGGAATATCATCAGTGGTAGAAGGGTGTGGGGTTTGCAGAGAAGAGGAAAAGGAGGAGGAGGAGGAAGAGGAGGAGGAGGAGGAAGACTGTGGGGTCCTTGGTGCTCTCTGAGCTTGGTGGTTTTCTTGCAGACATTTCATTACCTAACAAGGTAACATCATCAGTGCTAGAAGGGAGTGTGTTTGGGGAAAGAAAGAGGAGGAGAGGAGGAGGAGGAGGAGGAGGAGGAGGAGGAGGAGGAGGAGGAGGAGGAGGAGGAGGAGGAGGAGGAGGAGGAGGAGGAGGAAAAGACTATGGGCTCCTTGATGCTCTCTGAGCTTGGTTGTGTTCTTGCAGACGTTTCATCACCCAACTAGGGAATATCATCAGTGGTAGAAGGGCATGGAATTTGCAGAGAAGAAGAAAGGGAGGAGAAGGAGGAGGAGGAGGAGGAGGAGGAGGAGGAGGAGGAGGAGGAGGAGGAGGAGGAGGAGGAGGAAGACAACAACAATGACTGTGGGGTCCTTGGCGCTCTCTGAGCTTGGTTGTTTTCTTGCAAATGTTTCATGACCCAACTAGGGAACATCATCAGTGCAAGAGGGAAGAGGAGGAGGAGAACTGTGGGCTCCTTGATACTCTCTGAGCTTGGTCGTTTTCTTGCAAACATTTCATGACCCAACTAGGCAACATCACCAGGGCTAGTAAGGAGTGTGGCTTGCTGTCAGTTTATATTCTAGAACAGAACATAGTTTATCAACTCACCGTAGAATATAAACCGGGGCTCAATTGTGTTCGTAACTCAAGGACTCAAAGGAAGAAATGAGGAGAGGCATTTTGTGGCGCTTTTCTATTCTGACTTGCGGGTGACTCTCGAGTGACAGATGACGCGGGCCTCCTTGTCAGGGAAAGAATGACCTCTGATTATGACAGGGATGCTTTGATCACAGGGAAATCCTGAACTCACAACTTCTCTCTTTTATTTTCGGCCCGTCCCGCTCAAGAGCGCGAAGGCGAAACCTCCCTTTACGTGGCCACCTGCAATCCCGTCTCCTTGTATTTTATGAACGTATCGAGTAAAACTGGACACTACGTGGACCTCTACGACCTCTTCCCACGGACACTGCGGGGCATGTGGCAACCCTTTGTCCGACTGGCCCCCCTCGGGGGTCCCCTCCGAGGTCAAGTAGTCCTACACGAAGAGCAGGTAAGTCGAAGGGGAGGCCACTTCGTCTGAGAGGGTTAGCGAGAGCAGGAAGTCCCTCCATTGTCATGGTCTCCCGGGTGCCGTAGCCCATCCTTGTGCCCGTCTCCGTTCATGGTGAAGGTCTGACCTGGAAACAAAGAGACCTTAAAATTAGGCAACGATCAGATAAGGAATGAGAAGAGGAGTTTGCGATGCTGTATTAGCATGCAGGGTACAAGTAAGTTTGTAATGAATTTCCATGGGCAAAGGTGGGCAGGCATCTATTTGATTTGTGTCCTTCCTTCCTTCCTTCCTTCCTTCCTTCCTTCCTTCCTTCCTTCCTTCCTTCCTTTCTTTCCTTTTTTCTATCTCCTTTCCCTTTCCTTTCCTTTTTTCTATCTCTCTTTCCTTTCTTTTCCTTTCCTTTCCTTTTTTCTATCTCTCTTTCCTTTCTTTTCCTTTCCTTTCCTTTTTTCTATCTTCCTTTCCTTTCCTTTCTTTTTTTCTATCTCTCTTTCCTTTCTTTTCCTTTCCTGTTTTTCTTTCCTTTCCTTTTTTCTATCTCTCTTTCCTTTCTTTTCCTTTCCTTTCCTTTTTCTATCTTCCTTTCTTTTCCTTTCCTTTTTTCTATCTCTCTTTCCTTTCTTTTCCTTTTCTTTCCTTTCCTTTTTTCTATCTCTCTTTCCTTTCTTTTCCTTTCCTTTCCTTTTTCTATCTTCCTTTCTTTTCCTTTCCTTTTTTCTATCTCCCTTTCCTTTCTTTTCCTTTTTTCTCTTCCTTTTTTCCCTTTCCTTTCCTTTTTTCTTTCCTTTCTTTTCCTTTTTTCTATTTCCTTTCTTTTCCTTCACTTTCCTTTTTTCTATCTTCCTTTTCCTTTCTTTTCCTTTCCTTTCCTTTCCTTTTTTCTATCTCTCTTTCCTTTCCTTTTTTCTATCTCCTTTTTCTTTTCTTTCCTTTCCTTTTTTCTATCTTTTTTCCTTTCCTTTCCTTTTTTCTATCTCCCTTCCCTTCCCCCTTTCTTACACTAAAAACACCCAATTCCTGCAACCATTCTCTGCGTGTTTTAGCCTCCAGCCCCCCGAACATCTCCGGCTGCTCATTTTTTCTGCACTCTTATTTAAATATGCCATCTTCTTTTTTTCCTTTCTGCCTCCTTGGCCTATTTTTCAAGCTCTTCTCCCCCCCCATCCCTTTTCAACCATCCCTTCCCCCCGCCCCCAGTTCGGTCCCTGCTCCCTCCTTTGCACAAACGTCTTCGGCGGCTGCTGAGAGAGGGCCAAACTTGGCCCAGCCACAAAACTGCCGCAAGGCAAGGGAAGCTCCACAGAAGCTAAAAATAAAAGGGCCGAAGGCAGCCAGGACGAAGAATGCCAGTGACATCTGCGGAGCCTTTGGCATGCGAAAGCACTGGGGAGCCGGAGGTCAGCCGAGGGTTGCTTTTCTCCCACTGAAAAATAAACATCGCCCCAAAGCGGGCCGATGCTTCCCAGCCCCCTCTGAAGCATCTTCCAGAGCCTGGGCGAGGAGAGAAATATTCGCCCGTTGATGCAATTTTTCTATTTTGACGCAAATGTTCTATTTGGGGATCGGTCAGGAACCTGTTCAGAGGGGAGCCGTGAACATCTGGAAAGAGTTTGAAAAAGGGACGTGCGCCCGGTTGCACGGAGCAGTTTTCCCCTCCTGAATTTAAGGCAAAGCCAAAGAGGACAGTTCTCCCCCCCCCTTCTTTTGGGGAGGGGGGGTGGAAGCTTGGAAGGGTCTCCTGGTTTTCCAGTTTTGCGTTTTGCTGCCTGCAGATAGGCAGCAAGGAGAAGGAAGGGGGGGGGAGAAATTGGAAACAAAACTTGGGCGTCCTTGTCACTGTTCTCCCGGAGTCCCCTTCTAGGAAGCGGGGGGGGGGCTGTTTCATGGGGACGTTGTAATGTACTGTTCAAATCCAGCAGGATGATCTTGTCGCTTGAGAGAGGCCGAAGTCAAAAAAAAAAAAAAAAACACGGTTTCTTTGTGTGATAATGACGGAGGTTCCGAGCAATCAATTTGCCCGTTTAATGATGCATTCGAGGTCTCTTGCCTGCATCACGAGACGGCTATCTGGGTTGGTTTTTTTTTTCCTTCCTGACGGTACAGTTTTCAATCCGAAGAGAATTATTTCAGTGACCTTCTATAGTCTTCTTCTTCTCCTTATACTCCTCCTTCTCCTCCTTATGTTCTCCTTTTTCTCCTTCTTCTCTTTCTCCTTCTCCTTATAGTCTCCTTCTCCTCCTTTTCTTTCTCCTCCTCCTCCCCTCCTTCTCCCCCTTCTTCTTCTCCTTCTCTTCCTCCTCCCCTCCTTCTTCTCCTTCTCCTCCTTCCCTCCTCCTTCTCCTTCTCCTTATACTCCTCCTTCTCCTTATATTCTCTTTCTTCTCCTTCTCCTCTCCTTCTCTTTCCCCTTCTCCTTATAGTCTCCTCCTTTTTCTTCTCCTCCTCCTCCTCCCCTCCTTCTCCCCCTTCTCCTCCTTCTCTTCCTCCTCCCCTCCTTCCCCTCTTCTTCTCCTTCTCCTTCCCTCCTCCTTCTCCTCCTTATACTCCTCCTTCTCCTCCTTATGTTCTCTTTCTTCTCCTTCTCTTTACCCTTCTCCTTATAGTCTCCTTCTCCTCCTTTTCCTTCTCCTCCTCCTCCTCCCCTCCTTCTCCCTCTTCTCCTCCTTCTCTTCCTCCTCCCCTCCTTCCCCTCTTCGCCTTCTCCTCCTCCTTCCCTCCTCCTTCTCCTTCTCCTTATACTCCTCCTTCTCCTCCTTATGTTCTCCTTCTTCTCCTTCTCCTTCTCTCCTTCTCTTTCCCCTTCTCCTTATAGTCTCCTCCCCCTCTTCTCCTCCTCCTCCTTCTCCCCTTCTCCTTCTCCTTATACTCCTCCTCCCCTCCTCCTCCTCCCCTCCTCCCCCTCTCCTCCTTCCTCCTCCTCTCCTCTTCCTCCTCCCCTCCTCCCCCTCTTCTCCTTCTCCTCCTCCCCTCTTCTCCTCCTCTTCCTCCCCCCTCCTTCTTCCCCTTCTCCTCCTCTTCTCTTCCTCCACCCCTCCTCTCCCTCTCCTCCTCCTCCTCCTCCTCCTCCTCCCATGGCTAAGGCAGGACTGGAATTCACAGTCTTTCGTTTTCTATCCCACTCCCTTAACCACTGGACCAAACTGCCTCTCTTAACTGTGTCACGCCCGTTGTAGGCTCAGAGTATAATCCTTTACACGTCTTCCCCTTAAAAACTGCGAAAAATTGAAATGAACTTATGCGCTTTCAGGAACACATCTGAGTCTGGCCGGGTGCCCACCGTTGATGGTTTATGGCCCCCCCTAGGAATGTGCAGGGGGGGGGGACGATTTGCTGCAGGAAAACAAATAGGGATTTTCCACACTAGAAGAAAATGCCCTGTAGCGAACTCGGGATGACGACAAAATTTGGCGGAAGGGAAAAAAATCTCGGAGGGGAAAAAAGATTTATCTAGTTTTTTCCGACCTGTCAAAATTCACCCTCAGTTCCAACCTGGGTTGCGTTACTCTTAAGCGAAAGGGATCTAGGTTTGCATTTCTTCCAAAGTGTGTAGAGTTACTCTCTTTTTTTTCCTTTTCTCTTATAGAATCACATTATTTTATTGCTGGACACAACGACGGGGGCCGTGAGCCGACTCACCCTGTTACCGGATATCCAGGCGTCGCATAAAGGAACATCTTGGTGGGGAGCCAAAGAGCAGGAGGTAAGACATCTCAGTCACCTGTCTCAGCCCTGCATTTACAACCACTCATTTAGTGACCGTTCAAAGTTGCAACGGCACTGGGGGGGGGAAGGGACTTTTGATCGTGCGATCAAAAGTCCCATTTTGATCACGTGATCAGAATTCAGAGGCTTGGCAACCGGCATGGACTTACGACGGTTGCATTATCCAGGGAATCACGCCATCTCCTTTTGCGACCTTCCGACGAGCAAAGTCAAAGGGCAAGCCGGATTCACTTAACGACCGTGTTGCTAACTTAACAACTATAATAATAATAAAGTTGGAAGGGACCTTGGAGGCCATCCAGTCCAACCCCCTGCTCAGGCAGGAAACCCTATACCATTTCAGCTGCAAATGGCTGCAGACAAATGGATGCATGGACGGCATAAACATAAAATGAAATAAAATAAAGTGTAAAAATAATAAAATAAAGTAAAGTAAAATAAAATATAAAATAAATGAAATGTGAAATGAAACTAAAAAAATAAATACAATATATATTAAATGAAATGAAAAAAATAAAAAATACAATAAATATGAAATGAAATTAAAAAATAAAAAATAAAATAGTAAAAATACAATAAAGTTAAAAAAGAAAAGAAAATATAAAAGAAGAAAAAATAATAAAAGAAAATAAAAAATAATAAAAGAAAATAAAAAATAATAAAAGAAAATAAAAAGAAAATAAAATAACAGCGACAAAATAAAATAAGTTAGTATAATTCTGTTTAAAAAAAAAAAAGCAACTTTGCCCTCTTTTTGAACTTTCTGAGTTTTTATAGCTCTTAAAAGATCCTGGTTTGGTGCCCATGGGATCTGTGACATCTCATTGTGGAAATAAAATAATGACTTCAATCCATCTTGTTACGGGGATTAATTGTTGCCTGTGGGGCGAACAAAGCCTTCATTAAACAACCAGGACTCCTGGCTGAATTATGGGAGGCAAAGTCCATCCATCTTAAAGTTGCAAGGATAAGTTGTTGGTATATTTTAGTTCCCGTCTTTAAACACAGTTCTGCATCTGGATTTCGTAGAAGCCTTCCAGACCAGCTCTTTTCCCGTAAGGGGTAATCCCTGGGTCCCTAAAATCCCATATGGATTTCCCTTTTTCAGTGTCTTATCTGAATACACGAGTTTTAACGAGCAATTCCAGTACCTTTCCCCCTAATATGACACTGTTGTGTCTTAAGTTTCTTTAAGGCTTAACATTCCTCCTTACACAATCCTGCGGCTTCACGCTTCGCCCCTTATTTGTTCAACTTTAACCCTGCTGAGAGAGGCTGTCTTAAGAAGGTTTATTTGTGGAGACACGTAGTGAAATTTATTTTTTATATATATAAATGTTTTACTGAGTTTTATAAGGGTAGGGAAGGGATAAGATCGGTATGGATATTGGATGGGGTTAGGGGATGGGGTTGGGATAAGGGTAAGGGTAGATACAATAGTGGAGTTACCCCCAATAAAACAATTCAACGCTTTAGCAAGCAGACTATCGTCCGGGTACAAATATTAAATGACAGTAAATAATAATAATAATAATAATAATAATAATAATAATAATAATGATGATGATGATTATGATGATTATGATGATAGTGATAGGCTCCTTGGGTGCAATTCCAAAACAACTGGAGCACCACTTGAACACCATAGGCATTGACAAATTCGCTATTAGTCAATTGCAAAAGGCGGCCTTATTAGGAACTGCTTCCATCCTGCGATGATACCTGTAATACCATCAAACATCCACATCTGCCTATCCCAGGTCCTGGGTAAGGACTCGATAGGTAGACAAAATGCCAAATCCAGTCTGAACATCTGGCTGACTGGGCGATGATCCATAATAATAATAATAATAATAATAATAATAATAATAATAATAGTCATAGGCGCCTTGGGTGCAATCCCAAAACAACTGGAGCACCACTTGAACACCATTGGCATTGACAAATTCGCTATTAGTCAATTGCAAAAGGCGGCCTTACTAGGAACTGCTTCCATCTTGCGACGATACCTGTAATACCATCAAACATCCACATCTGCCTATCCCAGGTCCTGGGTAAGGACTCGATAGGTAGACAAAATGCCAAATCCAGTCTGAACATCTGGCTGACTGTGCGATGAATGATGATAATAATAATAATAAAGTTGGAAGAGACCTTGGAGGTCATCTAGTCCAACCCCCTGCTCAGGCAGGAAACCCTATACTATTTCAGACAAATGGCTGTCCAGTCCCTTCTTAAAAACTTCCAGTGTTGCAGCATGCACCGCTTCTGGAGGCAGGTAGTTCCACTGGTTAATTGTTCTAACTGTCCGGAAGTTTCTCCTTAGTTCTAGGTTGCTTCTCTCCTTGGTTAGTTTCCATCCGTTGCTTCTTGTCCTGCCTTCAGGCACTTTGGAGAAGAGCTTGACTCCCTCTTCTCTATGGCAGCCCCAGAGATATTGGAGTTATAATACTAAACAGTTATAATCACTAATAATAATAATCATAAAAGTAAAGCTTAATTAATAAATATCATTCATCCTGTTAAACTTCACCGTCCTTTCTCGTTCCATCGTATTGCTAACCATTGATAAAAAATTTTTTCCCATGTTTTGAAATAAACTGAATCTTCTTTCTCTTTCATCTCTAAAGTTAGTCTATCCATTTCTGCACATTCTTAAGATTTTCGTGATTATAATCTGGTCAGGTGGTAGATTTTCATTTTTCCAAAATGGGGGAAATACTATTCTCACAGCTGTCAATACAGGTAATATTAAATATTCATTCACGTAGTGAAATTTCGTAAGACAGGTTGCAGGTCTACGGCAAAGGAACGAAAAGAATACAGGGGTCTCCAAAGGTTGGTTTGAGCAATCACCTATATCGGAATAACAGAGTTGGAAGGGGCCTTGGAGGTCTTCTAGTCCAGCCCCCTACTCAAGCAGGAAACGCTACATCATTTACGGTCATAAATCACTTTTTTCCGATGCCGTTGTAACTTGGAACCGTCACTAAGTAAACTGTCGTTCAGTCCAGGACTGCCCGTATCTTATTTAGCAGAGAGAATAAGAAATGGGTGTTAGCACTTCTGGGGTCGGACCTTGACGTTTTTCTCCTCCGTGTTAAATCTGTGTTGAAGAATCTTTTTCTAGAACAAGCCTTCTTGTAACAAAGAGGTTTTAAGCCAGTGGTTCTCAACCTTTTTAATGCCGCGACCCCCAACCGGTCGTAAGTCGAGGACTACTCAACCGGTCATAAGTCGAGGACTACTCAAGTGGTGCAGCACCATTTGCAGAATGGGACTTTTGGCGGGCTCAGCAGGGCAGAGACAGCCTGGACAATTCCTATTGGCTTTTGAAAGCCAATAGAATTAGATTCTATTCAAGAGAGGCTATTCTATTGGCTTTCAAAAGCCAATAAAATAAAAGGGAGTAGCACAGCTAAGGAAAAGGGGGGAAAAATGGCGGACTGCATTGTTTGGCGACTATCATGAAATGGTCGTTCGACCCCAAATGGGGTCCCTACCCACAGGTTGAGAACCACTGTTTTAAGCTTTAGCGCAGTGTTTCTCAACCTTGACCATTTTAAGGCATGTGGACTTCAACTCCCAGAATTCCACAGCCAGCAATGCTGGCTGTGGAATTCTGGGAGTTGAAGTCCACGTGCCTTAAAATGGTCAAGGTTGAGAAACACCGCAAAGTTTTAGCGAATGGGGCAATTTGACCGAAGAACTGTCATTGATTATTCTGTCTTTTCCTCCTCCTCCTCCTCCTCCTCCTCCTCCTCCTCCTCCTCCTCCTCCTCCTCCTTCCAAGAAGACAAGTCACAAAATGTGCAAGGAATTCGCGCATAAGAATTGGCTGGTGTTCTACAAAGAGGAAGGGTAAGAATGGATTCCTTCTTTTTTTCCTACTTGCACAGGCCTCCTGAGCTTCTCCTGAGCCTGATTTTTTTTTAACATTTTTATCTTTCAGGAGCTCTCTTACCGTGATGGACGTCCTGGAGGGCAACGCCCACACCATCTCCCTCCCCATCAGTCTCAAGTCTGTCTTTTTAGTGGCCGAAGACCGGTGGCTTCTGGTGGAAAATAAAACCAACCAGTAGGAACGCCCTTTCTAATGCCATCCTCTTACACCGTCTACCTATCGCTCTCTCTCCATCTCGGGCCTCTTGGAGAGCTGTGGATTTCAGCTCTCAAAATTCCCCAGCCAGCCATGCTTGCTTTGCTGGCTGCGGAATTCTGGGAGTTAAAGTTCACCCCTCTTTAAGAAGCGGGCAGGGTTGAGAAACACGGCTCGGTTAAATAGCAGAAATTGTTCTTCCCCTGAGCAGAATTGGTGCATAATTTGGGGGGGGGGGTGTCTTCCTGGACTTGTAGCTCCTGCTCAAGGAGCAGCTGGTGACCATGGCTGACAGGGATATATGCCCAAATAATAATCACTTATTTCTGGATTAGAAGACACTGCTCATTGTCATACATGCTGAGATAATGTCCTGACTGGGCTACTATAGGGGTCTTCCAACTTGGCCCTTTGATGACTTCTGGACTTCAGCTCCCAGAATTCCTCAGTCAGCCTCCATTTTGTTTGTTAGATTTAAGCCAGGGGTTTTCAAACTTGACCCTTTGATGACTTGTGGACTTCAACTCCCAGAAGTCCTCAGCCAGCCTCCATTTTGTTTGTTAGATTTAAGCCAGGGATCTTCAAACTTGGCCCTTTGATGACTTCTGGACTTCAACTCCCAGAATTCTTCAGCCAGCATGCCTGGCTGAGGAATTCTGGGAGTTGAAGTCCACAAGTCATAAAAGGGTCATAGTTCCCTCACTCTGGTTGAGGAATTCTGGGAGTTGAAGTCCACAAGTCATCAAAGGGCCAGGTTTGAAGACCTCTGCTTGTGAACTTCAGCTCCCAGAATTCCTTAGCCAGGCACGCTGGCTGAGGAATTCTGGGAGTTGAAGTCCACAAGTCATAGAAGGGCCAGGTTTGAAGACCCCTACTTGTGAACTTCAACTCCCAGAATTCCTTAGCCAGGCATGCTGGCTGAGGAATTCTGGGACTTAAAATCCACAAGTCATAAAAGGGTCATAGTTCCCTCAGGCTGGCTGAAGAATTCTGGGAGTGGAAGTCCACAAGTCATAAAAGGGCCAATTTGAAGACCCCTGGGCTACTACAATGTGTTCTACCTTGCAAGGCCACTTAGACTGATTTCAACGGACCCCAGAAATACAAGAGTAACAATAATTTCAAAGAAAACAGGGTGACCAATAATAAAAGTAACTGAATTCAACATTTAATAAAGCGTTGAATTGTGCCCTGGAGAGTTATCCTAGGTCAGGGGTAGGCAACCTTGGCTCTTTTATGACTTGCGGACTTCAACTCCCAGAATTCCTGAGCCAGCGTGGCTCAGCTTGGAAACCTCTCTCTTTCCCCTCAGCGTGGCTGGCTCAGGAATTCTGGGAGTTGAAGTCCACCAGTCATAAAAGAGCCAAGGTGGCCTACCACTGAACTAGGATAACTCTCCAGGACACAATTCAACGCTTTATTAAATGTTGAATTCAGTTACTTTTATTATTGGTCACCCTGTTTTCTTTGAAATTATTGTTACTCTTGTATTTCTGGGGTCCGTTGAAATCAGTCTAAGCGGTCTTCCAAGGTAGAACACATTCTAGTAGCCCAGGGGTCTTCCAACTTGGCCCTTTGATGACTCGTGGACTTCAACTCCCAGAATTCCTCAGCCAGCCTCCATTTTGTTGGTTAGATTTAAGACAGGGGTCTTCCAACTTGGCCTTTTTATGACTCACGGACTTCAACTCCCAGAATTCCCGAGCCAGTCATGCTGAGGGGAAAGGGAGAGGTTTCCAAGCTGAGTCATGCTGGCTGTGGAATTCTGGGAGTTGAAGTCCACAAGTCATAAAAGAGCCAAGGTCGCCTACCCCCTGTCCTAGTTCCTATTGGGGACTCAACTTCCCCTACTGGGAAATCAGCAGAAGTGGGGAAGAATCCTGCCTGCCACTTTAAAGTCCCTGGGGAAAAAAAGACAGGATATTAAATTTGGCCAATTTAAACCTGCCATTTAAAACATGGATAAATCCCTCGTGGTTTCCAGGAAGTACCTGTTGACTAAGCCGCTACACCTGGCTGTGGAAGAGACTGGCATCTGCCAATTACACACACTGACCGAGGAACCAGGAGAAACTGGATTTGGACTAACCACGGGTATGGAATTTAAAACCAAATTGTCAGCATCTTTGGGGTTTTTGTTTCTTTGTCTGCATAATTATGGGATTGTAAAGTTTAAGAAGAGACGGCTTCAAAGGAGAGATTTGCTGGACGTGGTATTTTCACATAGGCTAGTGTTTTTCAACCTTGGCGACTTGAAGATGTGTGGACTTCAACTCCCAGAATTCCCAAGCTTGCTGGCTGGGGAATTCTGGCAGTTGAGGTCCACATAGGCTGGCTGGGGAATTCTGGCAGTTGAGGTCCACAAATGCTGGCTAAGGAATTCTGGGAATCTGAAGTCCACACTTGCTGGCTAAGGAATTCTGGGAATCTGAAGTCCACACTTGCTGGCTAAGAAATTCTGGGTTCTGAAGTCGACACAGGCTGGCTGGGGAATTCTGGCAGTTGAGTTCCACAGAGGCTGGCTAGAGCGGTGGTTCTCAACCTTTTTAATGCCGTGACCCCCCAACCGGTTGTAAGTCGAGGACTACTCAACTGGTCATAAATCGAGGACTACTCAACTGGTGCAGCACCGTTTGCAGAATGGGACTTTCTGCAGCACCGTTTGCAGAATGGGACTCAGCAGGGCAGAGACAGCCTGGACAATTCCTATTGGCTTTTGAAAGCCAATAGAATTAGACTCTATTCAAGAGAGTCTATTCTATTGGCTTTCAGAAGCCAATAGAATAAAAGGGAGTAGCACAGCTAAGGAAAAGGGGGAAAAATGGCGGACTGCGTTGTTTGGCGACCCCCGTGAAATGGTCATTCGACCCCAAATGGGCTCCCGACCCACAGGTTGAGAACCACTGGGCTAGAGAATTCTGGGAGTTGAAGTCCACACTTGCTGTCTAAGGAATTCTGGGAATCTGAAGTCCACACAGGCTGGCTGGGGAATTCTGGGAGTTGAAATCCACGCTTGCTGACGAGGGTATTCTGGGGGTTGAAGTCCCCACAGGCTGGCTGGGGAATTCTGGGGGTTGAAGTCCGCACACCTTACACTTGCCAAGGTTGAGAAACAGTGACGTAGGCAACACCTAGTGTTCCCTTTGTGGCAGTTTTACAGTACACGATTAAAAATAAAAGAGAGTCAGATAAAGTGGTGAAAAAAGTAAGGGAGGGTGTAGCAAATGGAAATAGCACCTTTCTGCCTTGCCTGAAGATCCCAAATGAGACGAGCTGTCATCTCCAGAGAAGCTGAAAGAAGCAGCAGCCTCCGAGTGTTGCTGGCAGAGAAGCTTGTGGGGAAAAAAAAAAAATCTTTCCTGCTAATTTGCCAGGAGGAACAAAGTCAGCTAAAAGATCAAAATAGGCATTGAAAAGTGGCTTTTATTTAAAAGGCCGGCAGATGCTTTGAAAAAGGAACAAATTGTTCTCGACTTACGTTTGTTTCGCGACGGTGCAAAACTACAAGGGCACTGAAAAAAGCAATTTATGACCAGTTTTCCCACTCGTGACCGTTGTAGCATTCCCCCCACCGGTCGCGGGATCAAAATCCAGACGCTGGGCAACTGACTCGTATTTACGACGGTCGCAGTGTCCCCGTGGGTCACGTGATCCCCTTTGGCAAAGTCAGTGGGGAATCCAGGTTCTCTTAACGACCGTGTTTCTAACTGAACGACCGCAGTGATTCCTTTAAACCACCATGGCAACAAGCCAGGTCGTAAAATGGGGCAAACCTCACTTAGCAGAAGGATGCTTCATTGAGCGACGGAGATTTGGGGCTCCATTGTGGCCGTAAGCCGAGGACCGCTGTAGTCGCACACCTCGCTAACCGAAGTCCAGCAAATGTTGTGTCCCTACTGAGATACTGTAAATCAGGGGTCTTCAAACCTGGCCACTGTAAGACTTGTGGACTTCAACTCCCAGAATTCCTCAGCCAGCTCAACAAGTCTCACAGTGGCCAGGTTTGAAGACCCCTGCCGTAAATCCACCGCCCTGTTTCATAGAAAAGCCGATTCCTTTTCATTTTAATTTCTATCGATTGTGGAGTGCCCGGTTTTGTTCATCGGAATGTCGCGTGCACAACGATGAACGCCCGCTTCAAAGCTCTCGCGATAGGGGGGCTAATTTAAAACATTAAAGAAAAACAAAACTAAAGGTAATATCTACCCAAAAAAATCTGTTTCCGAGAGATGTTCAGATTGATTCCTTCGATTAACTCCTGAACGGTAAGTAACGCAAGGCATCAGCCCGCCCTTTGCTTCGATTGACGGCTTGGGTCCAGGTGATCTCTTGTGTGTTTGTTGGTTTGTTGTGCTCTTCTTCCCAGTCCTTGAAAGCTACGTGCCCCGGGCTGTTTCTCGGGATCCGCTGTCTTCCGAGAACTTGAGCCGAGCCATTGAGCAGAAAATCAGCGCTCCCAACCGAGTCTTCTCCAGCCAGGAAGATTACGCGACGGTGGTGATTGGATTCCCGGATCTCATGGTAGGCCTTTGGGAAAAGGGCTTTTCTCCCATTGAGGTTTTTGAAAGTCCTGCATCCCTGATTATGTGCTTTCCCCAGTGGTCGTGATGCTCTGAGATGCCTCGTTTAGAGTAGATAAAGGATGGAATCTGGGCAAGTTGTCCAGCATCCTGAAATATGTTTCAATTAAAAATCCTGGAGAAATTTGTTTGTAAACTGCAGGGATTAAATTAAGGTTTAATCTGTTTTAAAATGGCTTGCCTGCCTTCCTTTCTTCCCTCCCATCTTCCTTCCTTCCTTTCTTCATCCCCTCCCATCTTCCTCCTTCCCTCCTTCCCACCTTCCCTCCCTCCCTCCCTTTCTTTCTTCCCTCCCTCCTTCCCTTTCTTCCTTTCCTCCCTCCCGCCTTCCCTCCCTCCCTTCCTCCTTCGTACCTTTCCTCCCTCCCTCCCTTGCCTCCCTCCCTCCTTCCCTTTCTTCCTTCCCTCCCTCCCACCTTCCCTCCCTCCCTCCTTCCCTTTCTTCCTTCCCTCCCTCCCTCCCACCTTCCCTCCCTCCCTCCTTCCCTTTCTTCCTTCCCTGCTTTCCTCTCTCCCACCTTCCCTCCCTCCCACCTTCCTTCTTTCCTTCCCTGCCTCCTTCCCTTCCTCCCTCCCTCCCTTCCTTCCTTCCTGCCCTCCTATCTCCCTCCCTCCCTTCTCTCCTTCCTTCCCTCCCTCCCTCCTGCCTTATTTATTTATTTATTTATTTATTTATTTATTTATAAGACTTATATACCGCTTTAAGTGCAAGCACTCTCTAAGCGGTGTACACCAGTAAGCAATGTATATATATATTTACATTGCCCCCAACAATCTGGGTCCTCATTTTACCTACCCGGAAGGATGGAAGGCTGAGTCAACCTTGAGCCGGTGAGATTTGAACCGCTGACCTGCTGAACACAGTCAGCTAAAGTGGCCTGCAGTACTGCACTCTAACTGCTGCACCACCTCGGCTCCTGCCCTCCCATCTCCTTCCCTCCTTCCTTGCCTCCCCCTTCTTCCTTTCTTCCTTCCCTGCTTTTCCCTCTCCACCTTCCCTCCCTCTCACCTTCCTTCTTTCCTTCCCCGCCTCCTTCCCTTCCTCCCTCCCTCCCTCCCTTTCTCTTTCTCTTTCTCAGTCTCCTCTTTTTCTTTCTCCTTATTCTCTCTCTGTTTTTCTCTCTCTTTCATTTGATTTTTAACGGGACTCAATGTCACTTAACCGCCCCGCGCGCCTCGCGCCCCACAGTCCCCCAACGAGGTCTTCAGCTGCAAGAGAGGCGCCCCCCTGAGCAGCCGACCACATTCGCCTGCTGACCCGCTTTATTACGGGAGAGGAAGCCGCGGCGGCACGGCAAAGCACACCAATTGTGTCACCCTGGCTGCCGCGAACCAAGTGGTGAGGATCTTAGCCCCCGGAGACGTGCCTCTGAAGGAGCTCTATCCGAAAGGTAACACGGCGTCTTCTTTCCCTTGTGTCCTACGTTCCTCAGGTCCCATCTAACTGGCAACAATAGCGCGACTTCTTCCTCAGCCTTTCCCCACCTCATAGACACGAAGTCCTCCACTTACAAGCATTCGTTTAGTGACTGTTCGGCGTCACAAGGGCACTGAAAAAAGGGGAGTTAGGGCCGTTTTTCACACAAACGTTGCAGTACCTCCACAGTCACGTGATCAAAATTCAGACAGTTGGCAACTGGCTTGTACTTACGACGGTTGCAGCCTCCCCAGGGTCACGTGATCCCCTTTTGCGACCTTCTGATAAGCAAAGTCAATGGGGAGGGAGTAACAACCATGTTACTGGCTTAACAACCCACCACATACACACATATATGACTCAGAGAAACAACACAGGTGTATTAACCCCGTTGCTGAAAAGGTGAGTCATTTGTCTCTTGGAGTTTCCATTTCAGAGGAATTAAGGACTAGAGGCCTCTGTGGTCACGAAGGGAGAAGTCCAATGTTCAAGCCATCGAAACACCGCGTTTGCGCTCTTTATAATCTCTTATGGTCAACGCTGCTAACATCGGATGTTTTTGCTTTGACAACAGTTACAGATGCCACCCTTTTCTTCTTATATTTTACTTTTAGAGTTAGATGATGCTGGGGGGGGGGAGGAGGCAGGAATGTGCATGAGAGTTTAGATGGACATAACAATACTGGACCTAGCGTGAGAACCAAGGTTATTGAAATAAGAGATGATAAGAATTGGCAGGTGGAGAACTGAAGGGAGAGCCTGCATTTCAAGCTAATTGGAGAATGTGATTTATGACTGTTAACTGGAGGAGGGAATTGTGCTTGGATACTGTGTGCTCAGGGGAGGGGAATCCAGTTTTTGCCTTTGACTGTGTTTAGTGCCGATGCTATGTTACTTGAATAAAGATTCTTGAAGGTAAACAATGCCTCAAAGTTCTTTGAAGACTTTCATCTGTCGGAGCCATGACACTTATGCTGCAAAAGAGGGGGAAAACAGAACCTTGAACTCATTTATCTCAGCGTCTCTCTCTGGCTGTTCCCTTTTTTTTTTCTGGAGCTGTTAAAAATGTTCCTTAAATATGTTTTCCAGCCAGCCCTTGCGATGAGTGGTTGAAGGGGAATGCAGCTCAGGCTTGGTTAACCTTTTATTCGTGTTTATTTATATTGCAGCTGCCTCCTTTCCTTCCCTTAAATATCTTAACCGCAGAAGTAATTCAAGTTACAGGTCTTCCTTGACTTACAACCACAGTTTCTGGTTGCTAAGTGAGACAGTTAAGTAAATTTTGTCCCGTTTTACACCCTTAAGTGAAACGCGTAAGTTGTTAATTTAGTAACGGGGTTGTTAAGTGAATCTGGCTTCCCCATGGACGCTCCTTGTGTGAAGGTCACAAAATGGGATCACGTGACCCTCTGCAACCGTCATAAGTACATGCCAGTTGCCCACTTATTACCATGCCTGGTGGACATGCCCTATCGCTAAGAAATACTGGTCTAAGATTCATAGATGGTTGGGAAAGATGGTGAAACTACAAATAGAATTTAATCCAGAATTGTTTTTGTTAGGAATATTAAGACCTAATTAAGGTAAAGAGAATGACTATTTGATATTGCATGTTTTAACTGCTGCACGGATAGTATTTGCCCAATTTTGGAAAAAAATGAGACTCTACCATCTGACCAGATTATTATTACCGAAATTCTAGAGTGTGCAGAAATGGATAGACTAACATTAGAAATGAAAGAAAAAGATGATTCAATTTATTTTAGAACTTGGGAAAAATTTTATCAATGGTTAGAGACACGTTACAACTGGAAGGATTTAATATTTTAGAATAGATGTCTGATTTTTAACCGAGTTCTAACTAACATTTTGATGATACGATTACTTTTCCTGATTTCCTGATTTTTATTTGTTACTTTTGATTGTTAGGATTTATTTATTTATTTTGTTTTATTTTATTTCTTTTTTGTGTGTGATTTTATTAGTAGCGTTTACTTAATAGATTAACGTATTTGTTTGCTAATTATTTTTAATATGTTACAGTTTAAGCTTTGTTAAAAATGGTTGAATATGATACTTACTCATTATTATGAACCGGACAATTGCTTGTTTGTTGAAATATGTGATTGTACCTATCCTTATTTTACCCTAATCCCCTTTTTCCTTCCCTTTTCCCTTTCCTTTTTACCCTTCCCTTTACCATACCTGTATTTTTCCTATTTTTCCTTATCTTTATAAATTTAATAAAATTTTGTTAAAAAAAAAATAAGTACATGCCAGTTGCCAAGTCTCTGAATTCAGATCATGTGACCCGGTGGATGCTGCAACGGTCGTAAGTGTGAAAATAAGTCATAAGTCACGTTGTTCAGTGCCGTTGTATCTTTGGTGACAGCCATTAACTGAACTGTTGTAAGTCAAGGACTATCTGTTTATATATTTCAGCATTCAACTGAGTAAAACACCTGCCTTTGTTTCCTTCCCTTATATAACTCGCTGCGGGAATAATTTGTGAGTTTTTCCCATAATTTCCAGTACCCCGCCTGATAAAATGTACTACACGATAGAGGTGTGATTTATTGGGAAGATGAGTTAGGATGATAAAAATCTCTCCCAAACTTTTCTGTTTGCAGACGTTACGCCTCCCGAAACGGCTGGATACTTGGAAATTGCAGATCTTACAACCAAGAAAGTTAAATATATACCTATCCCCAGGTAATTCTTATTTCGTTCTGCAAAATGGCTCACATCAACGATCGGGGTTGCGGGATCTACAGAAAAACATTGTTTTCGATAGGTTGTTTTTTTTTAAAAAAACCCAGAAAGTGGTACAGTTTATACAACAGCTTCTTTTGGTTTTTCAGATCCACGAATCTGTCTCCGTACACATCCTGGCTAGCCACGATTTCAGACACGGACGCCTTGTTGGCTTCACTGGGGAAAAACGGAGTGGTGACTGTAGACATGGGGGGCAACGTCAGACTGTGGGAAACCAATCTAGCAAGCCTGGAGAAATCCCTCCAAGAGTGGAGAACCATGATTGGCCAAGAAGATGGCAGGCCCGTGCAGGTGAGAAGAAGGATTTTGAATATTAGAGACTCTGTCCTTCCCTCCCTCTGTCCCTTTCCTTCCCCCCCCCCCTCTCTCTTTCTGCAGGTTAGACTCAGAAGCATTTTCTAACAAAATAATGGCTTCTCGGAAAACATCATCATTCCGCATCATTCAGACCCAATGGGGTGATTAGGATGCAGAAAGCAAAGACTCGCCTCGTGCGCAGTGTTTTGTGTTTGTCGGACCTTGCACACCCCTGCTTTGGGAGCCTTCAAATGCCTTTCCTAGGTCGCGAGAGAGAGAAAAAAAGGAAAAAAAACACGAAAATTTCTGCCGACCTTTTCAGCTTTCTCAACTGGTCTGTCCCGTTCTTTCTCTTGGTTATCGAGTGGCGTTACTGCCCTCTGCTGGTCAAAAAAGGTGAATATCCTCGAAGCCGTGATACAGGTCATCCTCGTCTTACGACCGTAGTCGAATCCAGAAATTCAGCGTGAATCATTGCCACGTTAGTCAAGGGCCGAATTGCTCTTGGTTTTAGTTCTTGGGGGTTTGTGCTTGCACTAGTGAGATTTGCCAGGTTTCATGTTTATTATAATTTTTACATCACCAAAATGTGTTTGGATAAAGTTTAGGCTTTAAGGTCACAAGCGACACACCCCCCCCCCCCAACACAACCTCAAATATTAGAGAATTATGCTCTGATTGTAATTTTGGCTTCCGTTTAACAGCCACTTACACATGTCAAATCCCACGGAGTTGAGAGGAAGAGAACAAATCACCTGGCCAGGTCAAGCACCTGCAATGTGCTTGTTCTAGGGCAGGGGTCTTCAAACTTGGCCCTTTGATGACTCGTGGACTTCAACTCCCAGAATTCCTCAGCCAGCCTCCATTTTGTTTGTTAGATTTAAGACAGGGATCTTCCAACTTGGCCTTTTTATGACTCACGGACTTCAACTCCCAGAATTCCTCAGCCAGTCTCCATTTTGTTTGTTAGAATGAGAATAATAGAATAAGAATAATAATAGAATAGAATAGAATGAGAATGAGAATAATAGAATAGAATAAAATAAAAATAGAATAGAATAGAATAGAACAGAACAGAATAGAATAATAGAATAGAACAGAATAGAATAGAATAAAAAGAGAATAAAAAGAGAATGAGAATAATAGAATAGAATAGAATACAATAGAATAGAACAGAACAGAATAATAGAATAGAATAGAATAATAGAATAGAATAGAATAAAAATAGAATAGAATGAGAATGAGAATAATAGAATAGAATAAAAATAGAATAGAATGAGAATAATAGAATAGAATAGAATAAAAATAGAATACAATAGAATAGAACAGAATAGAATAATAGAATAGAACAGAATAGAATAATAGAATAGAATAAAAATAGAATAGAACAGAATGAGAATAATAGAATAGAATAAAAACAGAATAGAACAGAACAGAATAGAATAGAATAGAATAGAATAGAATAGAATACAGGGGAAGAGAAGAGGAGAGAAGAGAAGAGAAGAAAAGAGAAGAGAATCTTTATTGTCATTTTTACAATGAGTATATTGGCCCACATTAAAAAAAAATCTGCCTTTTTCTTCTTTCACAACAACCTTGTGAGGTGATTTGGGTTGAGAGGGGGGAGGGGACTATTTCTGAAGAACCTGTTTGATTCTTTTAGGCCAAGGAATTACTACTACTCGGTCAAGGTTGTCCCATGTCTGTCTCCTAAATGTGGCCAGATGGATTCTCCTCTAATTCTCAGCTTCGCCTGTTGCATTCCCTCAAACAGATCACCATCCAGAGAGACAGTGGTTTGGACGTCAGGTCCCCTAAACATGGGAGGATAGACCCAGACAACGCCCCCCATGTTGGAGGAAACACTTGGGCTGGTGGGACAGGTACAAAATCATTTTTTCATTGCTGGGCGTGTAGCTTCAACCTAAGTCTGTGGCATAAAGGACAGTTGGGTTTGGGGTCCTTGGTGCCCTCTGAACTTGGTGGGTTCCTTGCAGATGTTTCATGACCAATCTAGGTGACACCATCCATTCTAGGAGGGAGTGCCTCACTGATGATGTTACCTAGTTTGGACATGAAGACAATATTTGTAGCTCAGGGTTGAATCGTGAGGCTCCTTGTGCTCTCTGAGCCTGGTGGTTTTCTTGCAGACGTTTCATGACCCAACTAAGGAACATCAACAGGTGATAGAAGGGAGGGGAGTATGCAGAGAGGAGGAGGAGGAGAAGGAGGAAGAAGAAGCAGGAGCAGAAGGAAGAAGGAGCAGGAGGGGGGGAGGAGGAGGAGGAGGAGGAAGAAGAAGAAGAAGAAGAAGAAGAAGAAGAAGAAGAAGAAGAAGAAGAGGAAGAGGAAGAGGAAGAGGAAGAGGAAGAAGAAGAAGAAGAACAGCAGCAGCAGCAGCAGCCACAACAACAACCGGGGATGCTTGGTGATCTCTGAGCTTGGTGGTTTCTTGCAGATGTTTCATGACAACAACAACAACAACTGGGGATGTTTGGTGATCTCTGAGCTTGGTGGTTTTCTTGCAGACGCTTCATGACCAAACTAGGTAACATCATCCGTGCTAGAAGGGAGTGTGGTTAGCCCAACTAGGTAACATCATCAGTGAAGCAATGATGATGTTACCTAGTTTGGTCATGAAGCGTCTGCAAGAAAACCACAAGCTCAGAGAGCACCAAGGTCTTCACAATTCAACCCTCAGCTACAAATATTGTCTTCTGTTGGTACAATTGAGTCCATCAAAGTCTCCAATAATTTCCTCGTTCTGAAAGCGTTAAGGCTCTCAGGCCTGGGTTGTGCAGAATCCAAATGGCCACTAGGTGGCCACCCAGAGAGACAGAAAACGTTGACCCTTTGCTGCCACCTAGCTTTCGTTCATAGTTTGCAAGCTGGGCAAATGAAATAAGCAAACGGCTGTCCACTCCTGGTCAACAGCGTGGTTGGGAATTCTTTTCCAGGTGGGAGAGACACCGCAGGCTTGGGAGGCAAAGGGGGTCCCTATCGGCTGGATGCCGGTCACCAGGTGTACCAAATCTCTCAAGCCGAGAAAGACGCGGTACCCGAAGAGGTGAAAAAGGCCGCCAGAGAGATGGGCGAAAAGGCCTTTAAGCAGAGGTGAGCCTCCCTCTTTCTGTGTTTGCATTCCCCTTTCTTTAGTGGTGATTCCTTCCTTCCTTTTTCCTTCCTTCCTTCCTTCCCTCACCCTTCCTTCCTTCCCTCACCTTTCCTTCCTTCCCTTGCCCTTCCTTCATTCCGTCACCCTTCCTTCTTTCCTTCCTTCCTTCCTTCCTTCCTTCCTTCCTTCCTTCCTTCCTTCTTTCCTTCCTTCCTTCCCTCACCCTTCCTTCCTTCCCTTGCCCTTCCTTCATTCCCTCACCCTTCCTTCCTTCTTTCCTTCCTTCCTTCTTTCCTTCCTTCCTTCCCTCACCCTTCCTTCCTTTCCTCACCCTTCCTTCCTTCCCTCACCCTTCCTTCCTTCCCTTTCCTTCCTTCTTTCCTTCCTTCCTCCACCCTTTTTTCTTTCCTTCCTTCCTTCCCTTGCCCTTCCTTCCCTCTCTCACCTTTCCTTCCTTCCTTCCCTCTTCCTTCCCACCCATCCTTCCTTTCTTCCTTCCTTCCCTCACCCATCCTTCTTTCCTTCCTTCCTTCTTTCCTTCCTTCCTTCACCCATCCTTCCTTTCTTCCTTCCTTCCTTCCTTCCCTCACCCATCCTTCCTTTCTTCTTTCCTTCCTTCCTTCCTTCTTTCCTTCCTTCCTTCCTTCCTTCCTTCCTTACTTCCCTCCCTCACCTTTCCTTTCTTCCTCCTTCCTTCCTTCCTTCCTCATATCTGTCTATCCATCTATCTGTCTATCTGTTCTGTAGAAAAGAACCAGTTTTCCTTCACTTCCATATTGCTTTGCTTCAGATTAAAAGAGATCCAGATGAGCGAATACGACGCCTCGACTTACGAACGGTTTTCTGGCGCTGTTCGAAGACAAGTTCAGTCCCTCCGAATTATTCTGGATAACTTACAGGTAATCCTGGTGTTGTCATTTTGATCTGTGTTTTTTTCTCTCCTCCTGCATCCTCCAGCCTTTTGCACAGGCGACCTCCCTCCACTGTGTTTTAAGAAATCATTTGTTTTCACGTTCTGAGCAGGAGGAAGGTTTTTTTTTTGGAAACAAAAGGCTGCAAAGATCCCTCCGAGGGGTTAATCAACTATCTCTTTGCGGGTCCCACTGGACTTTTCTAGCAATAGTGGCCTAACTAAATAGGGTTTGTTCTGTGCGGGATGGCAGGATGCAATGGGATGATGCAAAGCTGACAAATAAATAAATTACCTTAATACTGGTCTGAAAGCTGTCGTGAGCATTACAGCCTGAACACTAGATTCCAAGCATTGTTAAGTAAGTTGTATGCTAATAAAGGAGAATATTTGTAGCTTAGGGTTGACGTGAGGGATCCTTGGTGCTCTTTGAGCTTCGTTGTTTTTAATTACCCAACTAAGGAGCATCATCAGTGCTAGAAGAGGACGAGGGGAAGAGGAGGAGAAGGAGATGACAGTAGTGGTGGTGGTCCATATGCTGTCTGAGCTTGGTTTTTCTCTTGCAGACATTTCATGACCCAACTAGGTAACATCATCAGTGCTAGAAGGGGAGGAGGAGGAGGAGGAGGACGACTGTGGGGTCCTTGATGTTCTCTGAGCTTGGTGGATTTCTTGCAGACGTTGCATGACCCAACTAGGGAACATCATCAGTGCTAGAAGGGGAGGAGGAGGAGGAGGAGGAGGAGGACGATGACGACGACGACCGTGGGGTCCATGGTGCTCTCTGAGTTTGGTGGATTTCTTGCAGACGTTGCATGACCCAACTAGGGAACATCATCAGTGCTAGAAGGGGAGGAGGAGGAGGAGGAGGAGGAGGACGATGACGACGACGACCGTGGGGTCCATGGTGCTCTCTGAGTTTGGTGGATTTCTTGCAGACGTTGCATGACCCAACTAGGGAACATCATCAATGCGCTAATGAAACATCTGCAAGGGAATAGCCAAGCTCAGAAAGCACCAAAGAGTCCTCAGACTGTATACTATAATGTTGTATAAACCCAGTGTATCCTACTCAGATGAAAAAAACAGGTAGTAAATAAATACTACCATGAATGATTGATACTCAGGACAAGGTAAGCCAGGTTTAAACAAGTTTGGGCATCAAATGCAAGGAGGCAATTGCAGTCTGGACGTTGCTGTTTTGAAAGAAATCTTGATTTATATCTCAGCGGGCTGATACATCACTGCAGCATCATTGACTCCAGCAATGATACGCCATTTGTTCAACCTGTACTCCATCTGTACGTGCAGCATGATGAGTGTTGGACATATGCAATTATCTTTTTTTTAAAAAAAAATGAAATAAAATCTAACCTCTACTTTGTAAAGGGTAAAAAAAAAAACCTGGCACAAATCCCAAATATTATAACGCATCTATTTTAGATGGGGGAAAAGGCTCCATGTACAATGCTGCAGGTCCTCTGCTTGTATTAATAAGACAATGGCCATCCAATCCAGGGTCTTGTCTGGAAACAGGTCAGCCTAAACGTGCTTTTCAGTTTCAAATCTCCAGTTTCCTAATGATGGTTCAGATGTTGGTATCCAGAACCTCTTAGGAAGACCAGAGATTGCCAGTAAAGGAGAATATTTCTAGCTCAGGGTTGAAACGAGAGGTCCTCGTTGGTTTCGTTGCAGATGTTTCATGACCCAACTAGGGAACGTCATCAGTGCTAGAAGGTCGTGGGGTTTGTGGAGAAGAAGAAGAGGAGGAGGAGGAGGAGAGGAGGAGGAGAGGAAGAGGAGGAGGAGAGGAAGAGGAGGAGAAGAAGAAGAAGAGGAAGAAGAGGAAGAAGAGGAAGAAGAGGAAGAAGAAGAAGAAGAAGAAGAAGAAGAAGAAGAAGAAGAAGAAGAAGAAGAAGAAGAAGAAGAAGAAGAAGAAGAAGAAGAAGACGACTGTGGGGTCTTGGGTGCTCTCTGAGCTTGGCTGTTTCCTTGCAGACATTGCATGACCAAACTAGATAATATCCTCAGTGCTATGGAATGTTGGCGAGAAAACAAGCAAGCTGAGGGAGCACCAAGCACTAGAGATATTCCAGGCCATTAGGAAGAAGCGGGCAACTCACACTTAAGAGAATAACGGAGTTGGAAGGGACCTTGGAGGTCTTCTAGTCCTACCCCCTGCTCAAGCAGGAGACCCTAGTCCATTTCAGGCAAATTGTTGTCCAATCTTTTCTTGAAACCCTCAAGTGATGGAGCACCCACAACTTCTGGTGGCAAGCTGTTCCACTGATTAATTGTTCTCACTATCAGAAAGTTTCTCCTTACTTCCAGGTTGCTTCTCTCTTTGGTTAGTTTCCATCCATCGCTTCTCGTCCTGCCTTCAGGGGCTTTGGAGAATAGCTTGACTGCCTCTTCTTTGGGGCAGCCCCTGAGATACTGGAAGGCTGCTATCATGTCCCCCCTTGTCCTTCTCTTCATTAAACTAGACATACCCAATTCCAGCAACTGTTCCTTGTATGTTTTAGCCTCCAGTCCCCTAATCATCTTTGTTGCTCTTCTCTGCACTCTTTCTAGAGTGATCAAAACTGGATGCAACATTCCAGGTGTGTCTCATGGTACTTTTTTCAGGAGGCAACTGGACTTTCTTGTTTTTCTTTGAAGATGTTTCACTTCTCATCCCAGAACAGTGATTGTCAACCTTTTTAATGTCACGACCCCCAACCGGTCGTACGTTAAGGACTTCAACCGGTCGTAAGTCGAGGACTACTCAACTGGTGCAGCACCGTTTGCAGGCTGGGACTTTTGGCGGGCTCAGCAGGGCAGAGACAGCCTGGACAATTCCTATTGGCTTTGGAAAGCCAATAGAATTAGACTCTATTCAAGAGAATCTCTTCTATTGGCTTTCAAAAGCCAATAGAATAAAAGGGAGTAGCACAGCTAAGGAAAAGGGGGAAAAAAATGGCGGACTGCGTTGTTTGGCGACCCCCGTGAAATGGTCATTCGACCCCAAATGGGGACCCGACCCCCAGGTTGAGAACCACTGTCCCAGAAGCTTCTTCAGCTCTGACTGGATGGTGGGGAATGGAAAGATTTACAGTATACTCCTTGTAGACAGCTGGCCATTTGCCTCCTTTTAGAGAGAAGTGGAGGCCACGTGGAGGTTTATCTGTGTCCTCATGGAACTTTCTTATTATGCTTTGAACACATTTCCCTTCTCATCCCAGAAGCTTCTTCAGCTCTGACTGGATGGCGGGGAAGGGAAGGATTCAGAGTCCGAGCTGAAGAAGCTTCTGGGATGAGAAGCGAAACCTCTTCAAAGAAACACAAGACAGTCCAGTTGCCTCCTGAAAAAATGCATCTTTGGGACAACCATGGATCTGGATAACGGAGAACCTCCATAGACGTTTATTCCAGGTGTGTTCTTACCAAGGCACTATTAACCTTTCCATTAGGCTAGAGCCAGTGGTTCTCAACCTTTTTAATGCCGCGACCCCAACCGGTCGTAAGTCGAGGACTACCCAACCAGTCATAAGTGGAGGACTACCCAACCGGTCGTAAGTCGAGGACTTTCCCTGCCCTGGAGTGCCGCACATCGTGGTGCCGCCCCCTGCGCCAGCTGAGGCGTAGCTGGCAAGTGGCAGAGACGGCGCAGGCCGACCACCAGCTGGCCCAGCCCAAGGGAGGTAAGGCACCCGCCGGGCCCCACACGCGCCAGCAACCCTCCCTGCGCCCGCCGGCCTCCCACCTCCCACCCCTGGCCCTCTTTTACTTACATTTTTAGTAGTTGCTCAGCAGGGAGGGGTGGAAGCTTCCAGACAGCTCGCCTTCGCTGCAGACAACTTGCAGCACCGTTTGCAGACTTTTGGCGGGTTCAGCAGGGCAGAGACAGCCTGGACAATTCCTATTGGCTTTTGAAAGCCAATAGAATTAGACTCTATTCAAGAGAGTCTATTCTATTGGCTTTCAAAAGCCAATAGAATAAAAGGGAGGAGCACAGCTAAGGAAAAGGGGAAAAAAAGGCGGACTGCATTATTTGGTGACCCCCGTGAAATGGTCGTTCGACCCCAAACGGGGTCCCGACCCACAGGTTGAGAACCGCTGGGCTAGACCTTTCATTAAACTTGACCAAGCCGAGTCTGCTCCATCCAGACCGTGTCTCTTCTGAACCCATCAGGAATCTTTACAGCATTGTCCGCAAAGGACGTACATCCGTTTTCCTTTTCGGCTAGCAAAAGGCTGTCGAGAGTTCAAGGGGAAAATTTTTCCGGCTCGCTTCCTGAGTCTGCATTGTCTTCCTAGGAAATGTGCAAACAGACCGTCCCCTGCTGCCTGGAACGTCGAGACAAGGAAGAGGCTCGCTTTTTTGACCTAAACCATTGTTTATTTCTTGTCTGGGGTGGGGAAGAAGAAGAAGTAGCGATCCCGTTGTTCCTTCGCCCTTCGGCCGCAGCTGATATCACGCAGCGTCTGCGGTGGTAGTGCTGCTTCTTGCAAACGGGAAGTTCCCAGGTTTGAAGCTTCTTCAAAGAAAAACAAAAAAGAGAAACGTGAAACGTGGAAGACATGTCCTGCTAGCTTTCTGAGGCACTCATTGTGATGTGTGTGTGTGTGTGTGTGTGTGTGTGTGTGTGTGTGTTTGTGGATGAATGTAGGTGTGTTGTTCTACCCCTGTCATAAGGTGCAGAGCTGAGGCCTGGATGACGACCTTGTTCTGTGACAACTGCATCATTAGGTCAATAATAATAATAATAATAACAACAACAACAACCTGGAACATAACACCCCGGACTTAACAATTGTCGATAAGAAAGACAAAAAAGTCTGGATAGTGGAGACAGCACAATAGACGAGAAAGAACTGGAGAAGATCACAAAATACAAAGACCTACAAATAGAAATAGAAAGACTGTGGCAAAAGCAAGCAAGGGTAGTACCAATAGTAATAGGCTCCTTGGGTGCAATCCCAAAACAACTGGAGCCCCACTTGAACACCATTGGCATTGACAAATTCGCTATTAGTCAATTGCAAAAGGCGGCCTTACTAGGAACTGCTTCCATCCTGCGACGAGATCTGTAATAACATCAAACATCCACATCTGCCTATCCCAGGTCCTGGGTAAGGACTCGATAGGTAGACAAAAATGCCAGATCCAGTCTGAACATCTAGCTGACTGTGCTTTGATCAATAATAATAATAATAATGCAATCCCAAAACAATTGGAGCACCACTTGGACACCATCATCGGCATTGACAAATTCGCCATTAGTCAATTGCAAAAGGCGGCCTTACTAGGAACTGCTTCCATCCTGCGATGGGATCTGTAATACCATCAAAAATCCACATCTGCCTATCCCAGGTCCTGGGTAAGGACTCGATAGGTAGACAAAAATGCCAAATCCAGTCTGAACATGTGGCTGACTGTGCTTTGATCAATAATAATAATAAAAATAATAATAATAATCACATTCATAATAATCTTATCAAAATATAATCCTATACTCGGAAGTAGCAGTCATATAGTTAAAAATAGTATTTCCCACATTAGCATTAATTGCATAACAATCCAAATATTTACCAATCCATTATAAATCTTCCTCACAGAACCCACATTTCCTCCTATTTCCAACTTTCTAACCTCTGACCTTGGGTTCCTTATGAACAGAACTTCATCCATCCTTCTACTAAGACCCTGAAAGTAGTAGTCTTCCCGTGGGACATTCCTTTAGTTTTGGATTTTTAACAATACCCATTCTTGCTGCAAAGAGTATGGAGGGCAATTAAATGTACTCTCCATGAACCTGAAATTTCTTTACCTTCTGTTATTTACTTCCTTTCATCTGCCTGTCAGCCACAAATCAAAGGCTCAAACCCTGTGTACGTTATATGCATCGTTCCATATATAGGCCACTCCTAAGCTAATTTTCTGAGCTTAGGTTTTGTTTGCTAAAATGGGATTTATTGACTCGGTAAACCCCTGTTTGTCAGCATGCGGGAATTACCCAGGTTGTCAAAAACAGGTCTTTGATTCAATTCTAGCCTTTCACGGTCCGTGTCCCGGGCGTGATCTGGAGCCGGAAAAAGAATGTATTTCATAAACGTAAGAGGTGAACGTTGTTTTTCCTTCCATAGACAGACCTGCCTGTTCGTGAGTTCGTTTCGAGAACCCGTGCCAAGGCTGATTGCGGAATCTGGAACACGGGTTGCCTTAGCCCACTCGGTGAACATACGCCATCAAAAAAAATAAATTAATTAAAAAAACAGAACGTAGGCTTAAAGGCGATTATGGTATTTTATTCCTCCGTAGGCCAAAGGGAAAGAAAGACAGTGGTTAAGGCACCAAGCCGTTGGAGAATTGGACGATGCCAAGATCATCGATAGCCTGACCGGGGAAAAAACCATCTACAAACGACGTGGAGAACTTGACCCACAGGTACATTAAATGTGATAAACCAGCTCCTTCAGCAGTTGTTTTCCTAGACTTTGTGTGTAATTTCACTGAAAAAAGGGACATCACGGGGAAAATTAACCCCTTCTCAAGTCTGTGTTCATGCCTAACCAGCACAAACTCTCTCCAGCACAATCATGAATAATTTCTGGAAATTTCCCCAGCTGGTGAAGATGACAGTTGACATATTATGGCCGTGAATCACAGCGACTACAATGAGTTTATTGGCATGGTTTCTTAGCGACGTGGACAACACAAAATGGGTTGAATCTCTGACTCTAGTGGCCCAGATGTGTGCATCTGAAGATCTGTGCCGGTCTAATCAGGGTTGGTGTTATATGTGACCGGTGTGTGGGCTATTCTAATCCAGTGTTTCCCATCCTTGGCTACTTTAAGATATGTGGATTTCAACCCATGCTGGCTGGAGAATTATGGGAGTTGAAGTCCGCACGTCTTAAGTTGAGAATCACCATCTCTAATCAGATGGTTCCATAGGTGTTGCTGCTAGACATCTGGGTCTTGACTAGGGAATTCTGGGAGTTGAAGTCCACATATCATGTTGAGAAGGACCACTCTAACCAGATGGTTCCATAGATGTTGCTTCTGCACATCTGGGTGTTGGCTAGGGAATTCTGGGAGTTGAAGTCCATATGTATTACATTGAGAAACTCTAACCAGATGGTTCCATAGATGTTGCTTCTGGACATCTGGCTGTTGGCTAGGGAATTCTGGGAGTTGAAGTCCACACATCTTAAGTTGAGAAACTCTAACCAGATGGTTCCATAGATGTTGCTGCTAGACATCTGGGTCTTGACTGGGGCATTCTGGGAGTTGAAGTCCACATATCCTAAGTTGAGAAGGACTTCTCTAATCAGATGGTTCCATAGATGTTGCTTCTGGACATCTGGGTCTTGACTGGGGAATTCTGGGAGTTGAAGTCCACACATCTTAAGTTGAGAAACTCTAAGCAGATGGTTCCATAGATGTTGCTGCTAGACATCTGGGACTTGACTGGGGCATTCTGGGAATTGAAGTCCGCAAGTCTTACATTGAGAAACGCCTCTCTAACCAGATGGTTCCACAGAGGTCACTTCTGGACTTGTGGACTCTCGCCCCGGGTTGACATGTAATTTTTTAAAAAATTTGTCATCTCTCCCTTTACAGCTTGGAAGTCCTCAGCAGAAATGCAAGCGCCTCTCCTTGCTGGTGGACGTCTCCGGAAGCATGTACCGTTTCAATGGCGTGGACAGACGACTGGAGCGGTCCATGGAAGCCGTGTGCATGGTTATGGAAGCCTTTGAGAACTACGAGCAGAAATTTAAGGTGACTCTCGGATGGAACCAGATCTGACTAGTCGTGGGTAGATAGGTTGCTTAGGAGAAAGCATACAAGAGTTGGCCAAAATGGTGGAAACCTTTGGGGGAAAGTGTACAGTAGAAATATCCACCTTTGGTTAAGTTTCCACCCATTTTTCTTCTAATTTCTTTATAACTGTAGTCTTGTTCACTTAATAATTACTATTTTACATTGCTTTCGGGGCAACCAGTCAACTCTTTGCACCACGACTTTAATTTTATGACGTTTTACAAGCTCACTAAGTGAAAGAACAGAAAAAAAACCCAACCAACTTAACAGCAATCACATAACACACCGACCAATGTCCTCCTCTCAGCTTCAATACAGGACATCAAGAACCGAATCCTACTGTGATCTGATTGGCTCATGGCCAAAACAAGATGACACCCGATTGGCTCTCTAAACACTCACGCTCATTGGCTACAGTCAGGTGAAAGAAAGCTACCTGAGATCAACCTAAGCAAGTGGTGCTTCCTTTTTCTGGTTATTTGGCTATCACTTTTCATAGCATACAGTACAGATAATTGAACAAACTATGTTGCATTACATTCTCGATTAAATTATCTTTCCATTGATATATAACTTTATGGTACTACTCCAAAAAAAGGGGTGTTATCAGCCCTCAAACCTCAAAAATACACTTTTTCCCCAAAAGTTTCCACAATTTTGGCCACTCCTGTCAAAGAGTTGGCCTCCTGGATCTCGAAATCGGTTAGGTTTTTTTTTTTTTTTTGTAAAAAAAATTTATTTTCAATTTTACAATACATTACATTCTTAAAAATACTTCAGATAAAAAAATAAAACAAATTAATACACACCATTTTCGGTATTGCTCACCCATTTCCCCCCAAACCGCATCCACCCTCTGACCAACTTGCCTCTTTCCCTCTTCTTTCTCTTTCTCACTCACCCCCTCTCCTCCACCTTCCTACTTACTTCTCACCTTCTTCTATCCCAGCGGTTCTCAACCTGTGGGTCGGGACCCCATTTGGGGTCGAACGACCATTTCACGGGGGTCGCCAAACAAGCTGTCCGCCATTTTTCCCCCTTTTCTTTGGCCACGCCCCTGGTACCCGGTGATGTATAAGTGGTTGGGGGTCACCACAACATGGGGAACTGTATTATGGGGTCGCGGCATTAGAAAGGTTGAAAACCACTGTTCTATCCTCTCACTCCGGATGCGGTCCGGGGGAAATGCCTGAGCAATTCCTCTCTCCAAATTGAAACCTCAATATTATATACAATAAAAACTATTTCTACTTATCTGAACTACTTAAATTTCAACCCATCCTCCCCCCACCCCCTTCCCCCCCACTTCCCACAGCTAAGTACAGGCTTATACAAACATACTAAACATAATCTATTTAAGTTTACTAATTATACAATAACCAAAATCATACTAACCCTTAGCTCTCTTCAGACTTTAACATCATAAGTTTATAAACAAATCCATTACTCATAAAATAAATGAAACTTTGTAGTTCCATACTTCTTCTGAACATATTCTATCCATCTTCTCCATACGTTGAAATATCTCTCTTGTGAACGGTCCTTTAAATAAGCAGAAATTTTGGCCATTTCTGCTAAATTAGAAACCTTAAATACCCATTCTTCTAAAGAAGGCAGAGTATCCTTCTTCCAATATTAACCCTAAATCGGTTAGGTATTTGACAAGCACGCCGAGTGTCTTAAGTGTGGCATTTTTAACAAACCCAATTCAGGTAGTCCTCGATTTACAACCTCAACTGAGCCCAAGGTTCCCGTCGCTAAGCGAGACAGCTCAGTGAGTTTTGTCCCATTTTACCACCTTCCTCGCCAGAGCCGTTAAGCGAATCACGGCAGTTGTGAAATTAGCAACACCGTTGTTAATTGAATACGGCTTCCCCGTTGACTTTGCTCGCCCGAAGGCTGCAAGAAAGGATCACATGTCACACACACACACACACACACACACACACACACACACACACACAAGGAACGCTGCCACCCTCGTAAATATAGCACATGCCAGCTGCCCAGGATCCAAATTTGGATCACGTCATCCCAGGGATGCTGTAAGGGCGAAAAACAGTCACACGTCCCAATTTTTCAGACCCCTTGTAGCCTCAGTCCCTAAATGGATTGTTATAAGTCAAGGACTACCTTGGCATATTAGCAAAAGGATTTTACATCACAAGAACCAACTATGTGTGTGTGTGTGTCTTAGATAGTGCAACAATGCTGCAAAAGGGTAACCTTGGCTCTTTTTTTTTTTTTAAATACGACAACGGATGTCTTTGCTGCTTCAGCATCTTTGCTCCCCTCTTTTTCCATGCAGTACAATATCCTCGCCCACTCGGGAGACGGATTCAACATTGTCCTAGTCCCCAACGAGAACGTGCCCAAGGACAATAAGCAAAGACTAGAGATCCTAAAGGTACAGGGGTTTGTTTGTTTTTTTAATTTCACGAAATGTTTCCCTTTTAGCGAAAGCGTTTTCTCATTTTGGCTGTGGTTTTCCCTCCAGGCTTGTTTCCATATAATTCCTGAACGTTTCGTTACCGAACTAGCTAACGTCATCAGCAGGATTTTAACTGTGCCGTCCTCCTGGGCGGTCCGTTGTTTGGAGCTATATTTGAATTCCGAGCAGCTGATTGGTTTCTCTTGTTGATTGGCACTTCAGGGGGTCTTGGCTTCTTACATGTTGATAGGTTGGATCTAAATCAATATGTTGGTTGGGTGGAAGATCAAGTCTCAATCGGTTTACGCCCGTCTAACTTTGAAATAATAGGAAATATTTGTAGCTGGGGTTTTAGATTTGATTTTATGTATTTTTTAAAAAAAATCTAAAACCTGAGCTATAAATATTTCCTATTACTGTATTTCAAGGTTTTTTTAATTGCTCCCATGCAAGAGAGAGAGAAGGAAGACTAGAAACGGAGTAAAATTCTGTAGGAAAACAGTGAGATTTAGGTGCAGTAAATAAATATCAGATTATGTTTACGGAGATTCTCAAGCATCCTGTCCTGGTTGTCCCAAAGCTGCTTTTCTTCTCTCTTTTCCTTTCCTTTTCCTTTCCTTTCTTTCTTTTCCTTTCCTTTCCTTTCCTTTTTTTCCTTTCCTTTCCTTACTTTTCCTTTCCTTTCTTTTCCTTTCCTTCTTTCATTTCTTTTCCTTTTCTTTTCCTTTTCCTTTCCTTTCTTTTTCTTTCTTTCCTTTCCTTTCCTTTCTTTTCCTTTCTTTTCTTTTCCTTTCCTTTCCTTTTTTCCCCTTTCTTTTCTTTTCCAAAAGGCAACTGGACTTTCCTGGGTTTTTTTTTTTTTTCCCTTTGAAAACGTTTCGCTTCTCATCCCAGAATCTGGAGCTAGAACTGAAAGAAGCTTCATTAGCAAGAAAGCCCAGTTGCCTTTTCAAGGAAAGCACTTTTGGGATAAGAGCGTATTGTTTTTAATCTTTGAATTTATTGAATTAATTGACTGGTTTTTCTTTTCCACGGAGGCAGAAATAGCGCTCCCCTCATGACGGGCTGTCAACGCATCCTAAGAGGAAATCCTGCTTCCTTCTCAGCTTCTTGACCTAATTCTTGTAGAGCAGCCTTGAACATAAGCAGCAGATAATGTCACCTTAATGCTTGGATTAAGCCTCTTAACTGGCATAAATAAACATTAATGCCTTAATGCCCTAAAGCAGGAAAGTCACCCAAGTCAAGGGGTGACCTCCAAAGAAGGGGAGAACTTCACCCCAGCTGAGTTCAGGTAGTCCTCTATTTACAACCGCTTGTTTAGTTTTGCTCCCCCCCCCAGCAATCTGGGTCCTCATTTTACTGACCTCGGAAGGATGGAAAGCTGAGTCAGCCTGGAGCCGGTCAGGATCGAACTGCTGGCAGTGGGCAGAGTCAGCCTGCAATGCGGCATTCTAGCCGTGACACCACCATGGCAGATGATAGATAGATAGATAGATAGATAGATAGATAGATAGATAGATAGATAGATAGATAGATAGATAGATAGATAGATAGACAGAAATAAACAGATAGACGGATAGATAGATAGACAGATAGATAGATAGATGGATGGATGGCTGAGATAGAGATATGGATGAGATACAGAGAGATGGATGGATGGATGGATGGATGGATGAGACAGAGAGAGAGGTGGATGAGATAGATAGACAGACAGACAGACACAAAGACACATAGACAGAAATAGGTAGATACACAGATAGATAGATGGATGGATGGATGGATGGATGGATGGACGGACAGACACAGAAATAGACGGATAGATGGATAGACGGATGGATGGCTGAGATAGAGAGAGATATGGATGGATGGATGGATGGATGGATGGATGGATGGGACAGAAATGGATGAGATAAATAGATAAATAGACAGACAGACAGACAGATACATAGACAGACAGAAATACATAGATACACGGATAGATAGATAGATAGATAGATAGATAGATAGATAGACCAATACCAATAGCTCTTAGACTTATATATCACTTCCCAATACTTCACATAACTTTCTAAGCGGTTTATAGTCAGCCTCTTACCCCCCAACAATCTGGGTCGTCATTTTACCGACTTCAGAAGGATGGAAGGCTGAGTCAACTTTGAGCCGGTCAGGATCGAACTCCTGGCAGTGGGCAGAGTCAGCCTGCAGTGCTGCCTTCGAATCGCTGCACAGACACACACACGCCGGCTTCAGGGATCCTCATTTTTTTCCCGCCCAGGTGATGCACGCCCACGCTCAGTTCTGCATGAGCGGAGATCACACCCTGGAAGGGACCGAGCACGCCATTCGGGAGATCGCCAAAGACGACGCCGACGAGTATTTCGTCATCGTCCTAAGCGATGCCAATCTGGAGCGATACGGTATCCCGCCTGCACGATTTGCACAGGCCTTGACCATCGATCCCAAAGTGAACGCCTTCGCCATCTTCATTGGGTCCCTGGGGGATCAAGCAGACCGGTAAGCTGAAGAGACCAAACTTCAGGAAGAATCATAAGGAGCAAGGCATGGTGGTTAGCGGGCTTTCTGGCCAAATCTTCCTAGATCCCGTTCTTGGGAGCCGATACCTGTGTAGAAAAAGAAGGATAGGGGTGATCTTCTGACTTGTTCCACTCCCAGCCGTAAGGGTGCTAAAAATGGAACTTTTTGCTGTTGTTATTGCTAGTTGTGAAGTCATGTCCGACCCATCGCAACCCCATGGACCACATTCCTCCGGGCCTTCCTGTCCTCTACCATCTTCTGGAGTCCCTTTAACCTCACACCTACTGCTTCAGGGACTCCATCCAGCCACCTCCTTCTCTGTCGTCCCCTTCTTCTCTTGCCCTCCATCTTTCCCAGCATCAGGCTCTTCTCCAGGGAGTCCTTCCTTCTCATCAGGTGGCCAAAGTACTTGAGTTTCAACTTCAGGATCTGGCCTTCTCAACAGCAGTCAGGGTTGATCTCCTCCAGGACTGACTGGTTGGATCGCCTTGCAGTCCAGGGGACTCGCAGGAATCTTCTCCAGCACCAGAGTTCAAATGCCTCCATTATTTGGCTCTCGGCCTTTCTTGTGATCCAACTTTCACAGCCGTACATTGCAACTGGGGAAAAATGGAACTAGGAACTAAAAATGTTTTCCCCAATATACCCCGCCACCGGAAAATAAGCCCTAGCGTGATTTTTCAGGATGCTCGTAATATAAGCCCCACCGCGAAAATAAGATTGTCAGTTAGATGGACGCATTTAATACCATATTGCCCCAAATATAAGCACTAACCGGAAAATAGGCGAGCCTAATGCATCTTTTGGAGCAAAAATTAATATAAGACCCGGTCTTATTTTCGGGAAAACATGGTAGGTGTGTCTAGTCCAGGGGTAGGCAACCGTGGCTCTTTTATGACTTGTGGACTTCAACTCCCAGAATTCCTGAGCCAGCCTGGCTCAGCTTGGAAACCTCTCTCTTTCCCCTCAGCATGGCTGGCTCAGGAATTCTGGGAGTTGAAGTCCACATGTCTTAAAGTTACTGAGGTGGCAAAACAATGGTCTAGGCCAGGGGTAGGCAACCTTGGCTCTTTTATGACTCGTGGACTTCAACTCCCAGAATTCCTGAACCAGCATGGGGGAACTTTGGCCCCCTTTAGGACTTGTGGACTTCAACTCCCAGAATTCCTGAGCTAGCATGAGGGAACTATGGCCCCCTCATGACTGGTGGACTTCAACTCCCAGAATTCCTGAGCCAGCCATGCTGAGGGGAAAGGGAGAGGTTTCCAAGCTGAGCCATGCTGGCTCAGGAATTCTGGGAGTTGAAGTCCACCAGTCATAAAAGAGCCAAGGTTGCCTACCCCTGGTATAGGGCAGTGATGGAGAACCTTTCAGAGACCGAGCGTCCAAACTGCAACCCAAAACCCACTTATTTATCGCAAAGTGCCAACGCGGCAATTTAATCTGAACACTGAGGTTTTAGTTTAGAAAAAAAACAACTCATCCATTAACATCTTTTGTCTTAAAAGACAAACACAATAACAAAGCTTTCAATGATACAAGCAACTTTTTACTGAAAGGTAAAAAGTTTGCATTTGGCATGCTTTTGAACAATTAATGTGATTTTTGCTGTTGTATGCATGCTGATCATTTGTCTAACCTTGGTTCATACTTTGTAAGTTTGAGAGCAACACTGCATGCAGCACTTAGGTCATCTGTTAAGTCTCTTTCTGGTGTCAGATTGGATATAATTCAAAGCTGAAAACAGCGTGCTCGCTCCGGAGGCTTGTTTTGGCTAGGAAGGGGCTTGAAAAATGTTTTTTTCCTGCGAAAACCTAGCCAAAGAGCAAGGTGTGCGTGCCCACTGAGAGGGCTCCGACTGCCCCCTCTGGCACACGTGCCATAAGTTCGCCACCACTGGTATAGGGTCTCCAGGAGGGGGTTGGACTAGAAGACCTCCAAGGTCCCTTCCAACGCTCTTATTATGAAAAATCATTAAAGAAAGATCCAACCTAGAATAAAGAAGGAACTTCCTGACAGTGAGAACAATTCATCCACGGAACAACCCGCCTCCAGAAGTTGGGAATGATCCAACACTGGAAGTCTTCAAAAAAAGATTGCCTAGGATGGCATAAGGCAGCGGTGGCGAACCTATGGCACGGATGCCAGAGGTGGCACTCAGAGCCCTTTTATAATAGTAAAGTTGGAAGGGACCTTGGAGGTCATCTAGTCCAACCCCCTGCTCAGGCAGGAAACCCTATATCAGTGGTGACGAACCTATGGCACAGGTGCCAGAGGCGGCACTCAGAGCCCTCTCTGTGGGCACGGGCGCCATCGCCCCAGTCCTAGGCCTTCAGCTGGGTTTTATAAAACCTTTTCGCTTTAGGCCTCCACTGCTGGGTGCAAAAAAAAAAAGGTTCAATCAATCAGTCAATTTCAACTTCTTGCGGGGAAAAAAAAGATCTCGCAAAGTTGGAATTGATTGATTGAACTTTTTAGTCCCACCCAGTCTGCCGTTACCACCGCAGCCCTGCCCACCCAATGGGCCACACACCCCAATGGGCCACACCCACCCAATGGGCCACACCCACCCGGCACCCGACAATCCATAAGTGGGTTTTGGGTTGCAGTTTGGGCACTCGGTCTCTAAAAGGTTCGCCATCACTGGCATAAGGTCTCCTGCCTTGAGCAGGGGGGTTGGACTAGAAGACCTTTAAGGTCCCTTCCAGCCCTAGGATTCTAAGTAGGAGAAGAGCAGCACGTCTGCACGCTCCTTTAGAAGAAGGATGCTGATCCCAGCTGTTTTTCTGTAGCCCTGGCTTTGAAGACAAAAGTTGCTTCTTTGAGCATGAATCATAACAAAATTCAGCTGATGTCAGGAAAAACAGAGGCCGGTTCAGTTTCAAATAATGATTAACTATCCCCGGCCAAGTTCAAATTTATGAACCCACGATAGTCTGCTCAGTTCAGGATTGGCTAGAATAAATAAAAGCCCCCTTACCCCCCCCCCAATAATTTCACCATATTCTCTACCCTGGAAAAAAAAAAAACCGCTCCCACGCCTGAGAAAGTCCGATTAACGTGTCATTTTGCAAACCAGCAAAAAGATCCTTTCTCATACTTGGGTTCTGACCTCATCACACAAAACACGCTCCCATTTCTGAATAGATGTCTTTGCGTTAAAGAAAATGGTTGGGGATTGTGGTTTCGGTGCTACTCACGACTTGTGATGTTGAACACAGATCTCTAGAAAATATACACCCCACCCCATCCCCAAGGCTTGTTCTCCTTAAACGTTCTGACCTCTTCGTTTTATAATTCAAAAGGTGGTATTATTATTATTATTATGGATCATCGCACAGTCAGCCAGATGTTCAGACTGGATTTGGCATTTTGTCTACCTATCGAGTCCTTACCCAGGACCTGGGATAGGCAGATGTGGATGTTTGATGGTATTACAGGTATCGTCGCAGGATGAAAGCAGTTCCTAGCAAGGCCGCCTTTTGCAATTGACTAATAGCGAATTTGTTGTTGTTGTTGTTGTTATTATTTTTTTTTTATTATTATTAAAATTTTTCAAAAGTTTTACAAATAAGAATCCACCCCCCCCTCCCCAACCACCCCACCCCCCCCCCCCGACTTCCCAGAACTGAATATAGGATTATTTAACAAATATTTTAAAAATAACATTTGCAATTTATAAAATAATTAATAATAATAATAAAAATCACAATAATAATATATATAATATAAACTTTAAAATGAATAATATATACTAAAAGAGAAAAAAAAGAAATAAGAAAAGAAGAGAGAGAGAGAAAGAAGAAAGAAGAAAGTAGACGAAAAATAAAGCATATATATATAAAAAAAAAATATATATATGAATAATAATACGTAAAAAATGTATATATATAAAAAGAAAAAGAAGAAAGAAAGAAAGAAAAAACAATCATTACAAATTATAAAAAGGCTAAATAATATTTTTCCATATCCAAATTATGTTGTATAAAATTTATCCATTTTTCCCATACCGCAAAAAATTTTTCTTGAGATTGCTCCTTTAAGAAAGCCGAAATCTTTGCCATTTCTGCCAAATACGAAACTTTATGAAACCATTCTTGTAAAGTAGGCAAAGATTCCTTCTTCCAATATTGTCCTATTAACAACCTAGCGGCTGTAATCAAATTTAACATCAATATAACCTCCTTAGCATCACAGTCAATAACAATACCTAGTAAAAATAATTGCGGAGTAAATTTTACCCTCCTTTTAAAAATTCTTTGAATATTCCACCATATCTTAATCCAAAAAGCTTTTATATGCTTACACGTCCACCAAATATGGTAATAGGTAGCATCCAAATATCCACATCTCCAGCATTTCGGCTGTAGATTAGGGTACATAATGGACATTTTCTTTGGGTCAAGGTGCCATCTATAAAACATCTTATAAAAATTCTCTCTTAAATTTTGCGCTTGTGTGAATTTAACATTTCTTATCCAAATAAGTTCCCAAGTATCCATTGAAATCGTTTCACCAATATTCTGTGCCCATTTAATCATACAATCTTTAACTAGTTCAGGTTCTGAATCTAATTCCACTAAAACCCCATAAACTCTCTTAATATGGGTTGGCCTTTGATCTCTTACTTGTTTTAAAAAAATTTCATCTTCTCTAAGCCAGCCCGTTTTACAATCCATCTTCCATCTATCCACTATTTGTCTATATTGGAACCATGAATAAGTTAAATTTTCATGTGTTAATTCTTCCAAAGATTTTAACTGCCAGTCTTGGCCATCCCATCTTAGTAACTGTACGTAAGAGACCTTGTCCATATTTACCCCTTTCCTTATACCTTCTATGGCATGCCGAGGTATAGCCCATAATGGTATTTTGAAGTCACTTTTATAATACTTTCTCCACACTCTTAGCAAAGAGTTTCTTATAATATGAGACTTAAAAACCCAATCCACTTTTTTATTAAATATTAAGTAGGCATGCCATCCAAAAAGTAGGTCCCAACCTTCCAAATGAAGTATTTCTGTATTTGTTAAATTCACCCAGTCGCTAATCAATGTCAATACTACAGCATCATAATACAATTTCATATTTGGTACCTTGAGTCCGTTCCATCTCTTTGTCACTCAAGACTTTATGCATCATGGGCAAAGGAGAGCCTGCTCCCAGGACCGTTTTATAAAATTCCTTAGCTTTAGCAACTGTATTAAGTCTATAACGTGTCCCCGCATGGCTCAAAACAATGCCCATCGGAATCTCCCATCTAAATGGCATTTGTCTTGCTTTAAGTTCATTTACTAAAAAAGCAAAATCTTTTCTGCTTCTTAAAATTTTAGGTGGAATTTCCTTTAAAATAATAATATCTTGGGCAGCAATCTGAAATCTTTTATTATAAAAAATTTGTAGAATCTGATTTCGCAGAGACTTCTTAGCAAAATATATCACCACATCTCTAGGCAAATTCCTCTGTTTTGCAATCCAAGAATTAACTCTATAAATTCTTTCCACATCCCCACGTAACTCTTCTTTATCAATATTCAAAATAACAGCCAAGTCATTAATCACCATTTCCATCAAATCTTGAGTTTTATCTTCTTTCAGACCCCTTATTCTCAAAGCATATTCCATCTGTCTATACTGGAACATAAGAATATCATCTTGTGAAGTCTCCACTTTTTTCTCCATATCTTGAAATTTATAATCCAAAAGTTCAACTGTTTCTTCAATTTCCTCTACTCTGGAGTCCAGCTTCACAACCACTGAGGCCATTCCAGATAAAGCTAAAAGTATATCATCCCTCAAAATAGCATTATTCTGTTCTAAAAGCTCCTTCATCTCTTTCTTCATTTCCTCCTTAGTTTCAGATTTATTCTGGTCCAAAAGTTGTTTCATTTCCTCCCTAAACTGTGAGACAGCACTTACCATTATTTCTTTAATGTCTTGTGCTGATGTGCCAGATGGGGGAGGTGAAGGTGGAGTGGATTTAGGTTGCTGCACTGAGGGTATTATTTTAAGTTGTTGTTGCACAGTAGAAGTAGCAGGAGAAGAAGTTACTTTAGAAGCTGCAGTAGCTGGTTGTCGTTTTGAAGCCATTTTAATTTATCTTCCTTTCTTCTTAAAAATACCGATAAAAATAAGTAATCCAAAAAAAAAAAATTAAAAATAAGATAAAATAGAATAAAATAAGATCAATCTAAAAGTCCCCAAGAATAAAAAAGTAAAAAAGTAAAAAAAAAAGCAGTATTAAACAACAATTCAGCCGATCCGTCTTTTGAAGGAAAAAACTTTCAAAACGCCATTTTACTTTCACTCTCACTTTTCCGCCCGAAAAAAAAAGAGAAAGCTCAAAAAAATAAAAAAAAAAATCAACACATACTAAATAAACTAAATAAACTAAAAAAAAATAAAATAAAGCTAAACTATAAATAAAATCCTTTAAACAGTTCTGTCCGGTTTAAGATTACTCACGTTTTCTTTAAGTACGGAGATGGTAGCGGCGTCTCGCTTTGTTTCCGAAGAAACAAAGACAGCTGAGAGGCGGAGAAGGCAATGAACTCCGAGGGAACCCTCTTTCTACCCCCCTAAAAATAAAAATCCAGGGAGAGTTAAGAGGTTCTACCTCTATTCATGCGATCTCTACCCCTTCCCTTCGCCCGGGAAGGGGATTGCGAGCCGCGGGCCAGCTGGTAAACGCTGTGCTCCGCGGATCTGACACCTTCTCAGGAGGACGGCTACAAAGTAGCCGCCATCTCCACCGCTTTAACCACCGGAAGTCCGTTGTTGTTGTTATTATTATTATTATGGGTCATCGCAAGTCAGCCAGATGTTCAGACTGGATTTGGCATTTTTGTCTACCTATCGAGTCCTTACCCAGGACCTGGGATAGGCAGATGTGGATGTTTGATGGTATTACAGGTATCGTCGCAGGATGGAAGCAGTTCCTAGTAAGGCCGCCTTTTGCAATTGACTAATGGCGAATTTGTCAATGCCGATGATGGTGTTCAAGTGGTGCTCCAGTTGTTTTGGGATTGCACCCAAGGCGCCTATGACTTGCACCCAAGGCGCCTACTACCCTTGCTTGCTTTTTGCCACAGTCTTTCTATTTCTATTTGTAGGTCTTTGTATTTTGTTATCTTCTCCAGTTCTTTCTCGTCTATTATTGTTGTTGTTGTTGTTGTTGTTGTTGTTGTTAATCGTCACCCAGTCAGCCAGATGTTCAGACTGGATTTGGCATTTTTGCCTACTGCCCAAGTCCTCTTATCCATTCCCAGGTCTTGTTATTACCAGTATCTGCTTTCCCAGCTATTTTTTTCATGTACTGGCCATGTAGTGCTTTGTCTTCCCATGCCTCTATTCTGTTCTTCGTTTGGTCTTTCTTGTAGGCCAGTTTGGTCTCTCCAGTAGTCAGTAAGCCTTCCTGATATACTAATTTCAGTGCATCTTCATCATTGTTCTTCAGATATTCTTCCAAAGCCATTTTTTCTTCTTCAATCATCTGATGTACTTGCAGCATTCCACAGCTACCTATTTGCCTTGGTAGATAAAGTCTGTCAATATTATTATTATTGTTGTTGTTGTTGTTGTTATTATTATTATTATTAGAACTGTTTTTCGGGTTTTTTCTTCGAGCGATGAATTTTACTGAAAAATTCTGGGTTTGATTAAAAGTGATGAAATCTACAGCAGTAATGTATTTATTTTTTTCTCCTTTTCTGATCTTCAGATTGCAAAGGACGTTACCGGCCGGCCGGTCTTTCATTGCCATGGATACCAAAGAAATCCCGCAAATTTTGCAGCAAATTTTCACATCCACCATGCTCTCCAGTTCCTAGAAAAAAGGTTTTCATTGACTAGACCGACTGTTCAACACAGAATAATTCAGAATAATTTAAATGACCTGCTAATTAGAGTTGAAGCACTAATGATTGCCCTAACTTTATACTGAATAAATATACTTTACATTGAAGTGCATATTGTACTTCAATCAGCGTGAGCTAAACTATGGCATCCTTTCATAAAGGGGATGGTTTAAAAACATGATCAGAGCTTTGGGATAAATTAAAGATCTCTATGAATCAATTAAAGATTTCTACACAGGCTCCCTTAAATACATTTTGTGCCCAGGACCTATTAAAGAGAATGACACCCAGGATGTTTCTGACTGATTCTTTTTTTTAATAATTCTTTTGAATTGGTACACAATTCCAATTCAGCCCAATTGAGTTCAACGTCTCCGTTGCTGAGACCGACACGTGTTAAGTGAATTATGCCCCGTTTTACAACCTTTATAGGCACATCTGTTAAGTGAATCACTGCAGATGTTAGGTTAGTAACCTGGTTGTTAAGTGAATCCATTGCTTCGCTTGGCGGAAGCTTGCAAAAGATCACATGACCTCCCCACAGACGTTGCGACCGCCGTAACTATGAGTCAGTTGCCAAGTATCTGAATTTTCATCTCGTGAGCTCAGGGGCGCTACAGCTGTCGCAAGTGTGAATAAAACCGTGATACTCACTTAACCTGCAGTGATTCACTTAACAACTGTGGCAAGAAAAGGGGTAAAATGGGGCAAAATTCATGTAACTATTGCCTCCACTTACCCCTAAAATGTTGGGCTCAATTGTACACGTAGGTTGAGGACTCCCTGTATTTAAAGACCCGTGGTGGCGCGGTGGTTAGAATGCCGCATTGCAGGCTGACTCTGCCCACTGCCGGGAGTTCGATCCTGACCGCTCAAGGTTGACTTGTCCTTCCCAGGTCGGTAAAATGAGGACCCAGATTGTTGGGGGGCAACAGACTGGCTCTGTAAACCGCTTAGAGAGCACTGTGAAGGGGTATATAAGTCTAAGTGTTTACTTCCCTCCTTCCTTCCTTCCTTCCTTCCTTCCTTCCTTCCTTCCTTCCTTCCTTCCTTCCTTCCTTCCTTCCTTCCTTCCTTCCTTCCTTCCTTCCTTCCTTCCTTGGTAGCACAGTGGTTAGAAAGCCGTATTGCATGCAAAACTCTGCTCATTGTCAGGAGTTCGATCCGGACCGGCTCAAGGTTGACTCGGCCTTCCATCCTTTTGAGATTGGTAAAATGAGGATCCAGATTGTTGGGGGCAAAAGGCTGACTCTGTAAACCGCTTAGAGAGGGGCTATGAAGCACTGTGAAGCGGTATATAAGTCTAAGTGTTTATTGCCCTTCCTTCCTCCCTTCCTTCCATGGTGGCGCATTGTTTAGAATGCCGTATTGCAGGCAAAACTCTGCTCATTGTCAGGAGTTCGATCCTGACTTGTTCAAGGTTGACTCAGCCTTCCATCCTTCTGAGGTCGGTAAAATGAGGACCCAGATTGTTGGGGGCCAAAAGCTGACTCTGTAAACCACTTAAAGAGGACTGTAAAGCATTGGGAAGCGGTATATACGTGCTAATGCTATTGCTATAAAAAACATTCCCACTGCCAGGTGTTCGATCCTGACCAAGCTCCAGGTTGACTCAGCCTTCCCAAGTCAGTAAAATGAGGACCCAGATTGTTGGGGGCTACAGGATGACTCTGTAAACTGCTTAGAGAGGGCTGTAAAGCACTGGGAAGTGGGATATAAGTCTAAATGCTATTGCTAACTCTGCCCACTGCCAGGAGTTCGATCCTGACCCGCTCAAGGCTGACTCAGCCATCTATCCTTCCGAGGTGGGTAAAATGACCCAGATTGTTGGGGGGCAAGAGGCTGACTCTGTAAACCACTTAGAGAGGGCTGTAAAGCACTGTGGAGAAGTATATAAGTCCAAGTGCTATTGCTATCTTTCCTCCCTCCCTCCCTTCCTTCTTTCCTCCCTCCCTCTCTCCCTCCCTTCTTTCCTCCCTCCCTTCCTCCCTCTCTCCCCTCCCTCCCTCCCTTCCTCCCTCCCTCCCTTACTGCAAGGCTGACTCTGCCCACAGTCAGGAGTTCGATCCTGACTGGTTCAAAGTTGACTCAGCCTTCCCTCCTTCCGAGGTGGGTAAAATGAGGACCCAGATTGTTGGGGGGCAACAGGCTGACTCTGTCAACCACTTAGGGCAGTAAAGCACTGGGAAGCGGTATATAAGTCTAAGTGCTATTGCTATAATGTGAGGTTTTTTTTTCTAAAAAAACCTTATTTCAACAGAGGATCCTTCTATTTCTCCAGCCTCTGTGCTGGGAAAAAATGCCTCCCACTCGTCAACAACATGCTCAGAGCAGCCCAGTTGCCTGGTCTCCCTCCATCCTCATGCCTCTTTTGCGCAAACCTTGAGAAATAAAATTCTTCTGGAGGGGAATCTGCTTAGGAAAGCCAACCCTCTCCTCTCGAGAGAGGCTGGTAGCCTTTGTGGCACCACACGAGAGGAGGAAGATAACAACTTGTCTCTCCTCAACAACTGGGCAGCAGACCAACACCCAGTTGTGATGGAATGTCTGGATTCTGCAGTGGCTAAATAATGTTTGGCTGCTGGGTGTGGGCCTGCGTTGAGAAACGTGAATGTAGCAAAAATGTTCAAAAATATGTCAGATAGATGTTGGAAATGTAAACGTAACATAGGCACGTATTACCACATTTGGTGGACATATTGTAAGGCAAAGGCCTAGTGGAAAAATATACATATGTGGTTAGAGAAAATATTGGGCGAACAAGTGGATTTTAAACCTGAGCTTTTTTTACTAGGTATTATGCCTGAAAAGACTAATAAGCAGAAACTATATTTAATCTTACACATCACTACAGCAGCGAGAATAATTTTTGCACAATACTGGAAGAATGAAGGACTGCCATCAGAGGAAGAAATAACCAGGAAAATATGGGAATGTGCAGAGATGGACAGATCAACTATGAGGTTGAAAGATAAGGAAGATACAGACCACTATCAAATTTGGAACTTATTTTATTCTTGGTTAGAGAAGAGAATGAAGGATTAGGAAGTGAACATGTATTAGCACAGCAAACTCCAGACAACTTGTTGATTGGAAAAATTAATATATGTTGATGAAAAAAAAAATTAATAAAAATTTTTATATATAAAAAAAGAGAAACGTGAAGAGAAAACTCCTTGGTGTTATACATAAAGTATTTGGGTGACTCTAACTCTACTTCCGTCTTATGTTGTCTGTGTTTTGTCTATCAAATGTGTGTTTTTCTTGCAAAAGACCATCTTTTCCCAAACCTACTCCCTTTCTGCTCGATGGGCAAGTCGTCACATGCAGAGACGAGGTGGGAACCGTTTGTAAGCTATCTCCCAGGTTCGTTCTTGCGTAGCGTGCCAAGGGTTGCGATTGCAACGCGTCCTGGCCATCAAAAAGAAAAACTGGGCACAGCCAAAGCCACCCCAAAACACAAGTCATTGCAGGTACGGGGCGCAAAGAACGGTCTATAAATCAAGGAAATAAAACAAGCTTCCTGATGCACAAACGGGCCAGATAGTTCTAAATCTTAGAAGGACGTCCAAAACCTTAGCAAGAAGATCACCTTTCATGCAGACAGACTGAATTATTAGCTACAAGGCAGCAGCCAAAAAAGCTAATACAGTCCAGGCACTGAATCAAAATCAGGTGAAGATACAGAAGGACCTGGACAGACTTGAACACTGGGCACTATCTTACAAAATGAAATTCAAGGGTGAAAAAAACAAGGTTCTACATTTAGGCAAGAAAAACCAAATGCACAGGTATAGTATAGGGGGTACCTTGCTCAATAGTAGTAACTGAGAGGGTCCTCGGAGTCCTAGTAGACAATCACTTAAATAGGAGCCAGCCGTGTGCTGCAGCTGCCAAAAAAGCCAACACAGTGCTGGGCTGCATTAACAGAGGAATAGAATCAAGATCACGCGAAGTATTAATACCACTTTACAAAGCCTTGGTAAGACCACACTTGGAATACTGCACACAGTTTTGGTCACCACGATGTAAAAAAAATGTTGAGACTCTAGAAAGAGTGCAGAGAAGAGCAACAAAGATGATCAGGGGACTGGAGGCTAAAACATACAAGGAACGGTTGCTGGAATTGGGGATGTCCAGTTTAATGAAGAGAAAGACGAGGGGGGGACATGATAGCAGTGTTCCAGTATCTCAGGGGCTGCCCCAAAGAAGAGGGAGTCAAGCTATTCTCCAAAGTGCCTGAAGGCAGGACAAGAAGCACCGGGTGGAAACTCATCAAGGAGAGAAGCAACCTGGAACTAAGGAGAAACTTCCTGACAGTTAGAACAATTAATCAGTGGAACACCTTGCCTCCAGAAGCTGTGGGTGCTCCATCACTTGAGATTTTTAAGAAGAGACAGGACAGTTGTCTGAAATGGTATAGGATCTCCTGCTTGAGCAGGGGGCTGGACTAGAAGACCTCCAACGTCCCTTCCAACTCTGTTATTCTGTTATTTATCTATGCAGTGTCCAGAAAAGAACAACTTATGGATCATCAAGTGACATATTCTTGTCTGAAGGCTAGGAAAATGGACACGACGTTTCCACCCTGGGTGTTAAACACATTGCCCCGTTCTCAGTTTTTTGCAATTTGCAAGTTGCCAACAATGTCATCCATGCAGATTGGACCACCACTCAAATGAGATGCTGCTTTGAAAAGCCCTTCAAAGCTGCATCCCCGGATGTGCAAAGCAGTTAAAAATCTACTTTCTCAACTCTTGGCTTTAAAAAACAAAACAAAAAACGTTTGTGTCGATTTGCCATCTTTTTCGGTTCCTATTCTCCCCCAAATGCAGGGGGAAAGTCCGTGTCCTTTTTTTTGTTTTCAATTGCAAGCAAAAAGGAGGAAATAAAACAACAACAAAAGAAACCTCTTTTACAAACAAATTCTGCCTTCAGAATTCATTGAGTTGCTTGTGAGCAACCCTGAAAACGTTGGAACTGTTCTTCTTTTTGCCCAAAGAGCCTCTTGTGCCTACGGTTTTCGCGGCGTTCACCGGAATGAAAGGCTTCATTAATTAAAATTAAAAGGAAGGGAGGGGGCTGAGCAGAGGAGGAAGAGAGAGACCTCCCACCCCAGTTTCCAGTCAAACTGGACCGATGCGTGAGAACAGGCGTTGCAGACTTCTCGTCAGCAAATCAGTCTTGGGAAGCTGCCTGCTCCACGAAGCCCTTGCGAGGAGAAAGAGGCCGGAGAGCTACGGGCAGTCCTCGACTTAACGACCGATTCGTTTAGTGACTGCTTGAAGTTACATTGGCAGTGAAAAGGGGGCCTTGTGACCGTGTTTCACGCTTGAGCAACCGTGGAAGCATCCCTGTGGATCAGGGGATCCCCAGTCAGACGCTTCGCCACTGACTCGTATTTATGACGGTTGCGGCGTCTCCCGGAGTCACGCGATCCCCTTTTGCGAATGTCTGACAAGCAGAGTCAGCGGGGGAAGCCAAGATTCATTTAACAACCGTGTTACTAATTTAACAACTGCCGTGATTCGCCTGTGTGGCAAGAAAGGTCGTAAAATGAGGCAACGGCGACTTAACAACTGTCTCGATTAGCAACAGAAATTTTGGGCTCAGTTTTAGTCGCAGGTCAAGGACTGCCTGTACAGCAGCTTAGGAAATACGCCATCTCTGTGATTTTAAGATGAATATCCCTTTTCTACACCGGAAGAAAGCCCAACCTGTGGAGCTGTACCATCTCTTCTGGTGGCCGGGGACCAGCGGCAGGAATTGCGGTGGTCTAAAATGAACGGACACACACATTTGTGTATTTGCACATTGCTTCCTGCATCCTCCCCAGAGACGCCACCTCCACTGAGTAGCTCTTAAGTAGCTTTCCTTCTCTTTGCCTGCTTATGTATTCCGCCTGTTGCAGACGGCCTGCCTGCTCTCTGCGCTGCACACTCAAGCAGGCCAAGAGTGGCTTGGCTTAGTAAAGATTCAGTAAAGGGTTAGTAAAAAGTGGCATGGCTTAGGAAAGGTTCTGTACATGGTTAATAAAGAAAGGGCAGTAAAGGGTTAGTAAAAATGGTATGGCTTAGTAAAGGGTTAGTAAAGAATGGCATGGCTTAGTAAAGGCTCAGTAAAGGGTTAGTAAAGAGTGGCATGGCTTAGTAAAGGTTCTGTAAATGGTTAATAAAGAAAGGGCAGTAAAGGGTTAGTAAAAATGGTATGGCTTAGTAAAGGGTTAGTAACGAATGTCATGGCTTAGTAAAGGTTCAGTAAAAGGTTAGTAAAGAGTGGCATGGCTTAGTAAAGGTTCTGTAAATGGTTAATAAAAAAAGGGCAGTAATGGGTTAGTAAAATGGTATGGCTTAGTAAAGGTTCAGTAAAGGGTTAGTAAAAAGTGGCATGGCTTAGTAAAGGTTCTGTAAATGGTTAATAAAGAAAGGACAGTAAAGGGTTAGTAAAAATGGTATGGCTTAGTAAAGGGTTAGTAAAGAATGGCATGGCTTAGTAAAGATTCAGTAAAAGTTCAGTAAATGGTTAGTAAAGATTGGCATGGCTTAGTAAAAGTTCAATAAATTGTTAGTAAAAAAGGCCATAGCTTAGTAAAGATTAAGTAAAGAGTTAGCAAAGAATGGCTTGGCTTAGTAAAGGTTCTGTAAAGGGTTAGTAAAGAGTGTCATGCCTTATTAAAAGTTTAGTAAAGGCTTAGTGGCATGACTCACTAAGGGTTTAGCAAAGAGTTAGTAAAGAAGGCCATGGCTTAGTAAAGGTTCTGTAAGTGATTAGTAGAGAATGGCATGGCTTAGTAAGGGCTCTGGAAAAGAATAAGAATGTAAATGATGTGATTTACTGATTATTTTCACAGCTAGCTGGCATCAGTTTCCTTAAAAGTTCCTTAAAGTCAAAATAATATATAGATTAATTTAGGGCAGTGGTGGCGAACCTATGGCACGGGTGCCAAAGGCGGCACTCGGAGCCCTCTCTGTGGGCACATGCACTGTCTCCCCAGCCCCGCCTCCTCCCACAGCCCCCTCCTCACCAGCAGCCCTTCCGGAGGAGAGTTGCCCCCAGGTGCGGCCCACGCGAAGCAGCGCAACCAAGAACATGGTAACCGGGCAGCGGGGACAAGACTCTGCCCTTGCGCCCTGTCGTGCGCAGATGCTTGGGGCATGGCTGCCATGGCATTGCTGGGCTGCCTGGGTGATCTATGGAGGTGGTGGGTGGCCCAGTGGGCAGGGCGGAGCAGGGACAGGAGTGGGGGTGATTTTGGGGCACTCAGTCTCTAAAAGGTTCGCCATCACTGATTTAGGGGCACTTCGGCCCGACCGAGGACCAGGGAAAACGATGGATCAGCCTCCTCCATCAATCAATTCTTGTTGATCGAAGCAAAGAAATGGAGCCTAGTTTCTTTAAGGGGACACACACACACACACACACACACACACACATATCCTTTGACAGGGTGCTCCCCAGGTGAGACCACGCCCTGGAACGAGGCATCTCATCAGCTGATGAAGACGAAAAGTACCTTCCCTTCCAAGCTGGTGTAAGATCAGCCTCTTAGAGATCAATTCCAGACCAGCAAAATGTAACATTATGCTAATGTGGAAACCGAAAGAACTCAAAAGTTGCATCACATTTTAAGGAAACACACAGAACTCTGGGATTTATAACTCCTAGTGCTCAGAAGAGATGGTTTATGTTATCCCCAGGCAGAGATGATAGTTTGCAACCTTCCAGATGATGATAAATCCTAATTTTCCATCGTCCACCAGCCCAGAGCTTCCTGGAAATTGTAATTTTCTTTCTTCTATCCTACTGGATGCAATTGCGGTCTTCCATTTTCAAAGTTGCCAGATAAGAAATGTGATTTTAAAAAAAAAAAGAAAGAAAGAACCTGAGGTTGCTTTGAGTTGTTATTTTGGAGAATTCATTTATTGCACGGCAGGAAATATGTACAACCGATAAAAAAACATTTGTCCAGGCTATTGTTAATTGCCATTCACAATTGTCTTTTGTGTGGAACATTAAAAATAATCATGAAATAAGTTGCAACTGGGAAATGTTTGAGTTTTCAAGGTTTAGGTTTTATTAAGCACGCTGTTGCTTTGACCGTGCATTTGAAGAGGATTATTATTATTTTTTGCAAGGTCAACCCTCTGTGGCTGTTTTCCTGCTAATATTATTCAGACAGAAAAGGGAACTTTGGCTGTGAACATAACGCTCGAGACAATAACTGTTGAGACAACAATTAAGCTTCTGTTCCTCTTGTGGTGACCCTTGAGTAAGCTACGACAATGATCAGGTAAGGAATGGTTTGTAAGCGTACACAACAGCATTAATGAACAGAATGAAACTTTCACAAAGCTGGCAAGTGCCAAAATCCAGAACTAAAAGGATGGAATAATCTGGCAATATCTGAAAAAGTTTGCTCCTGACTTAGATAGAGACTATTCCAATTAATTACTATGAGGTTATAGAGGAAAAGGTAGGACACAAATGTAAAACAGTAAGTAGCCCTTTAAACCATGTCTCTCTCTGCCAATCATCCCCCCCTCTCTCTATCAATTATCTATCTATCTATCTATCTATCTATCTATCTATCTATCTATCTATCTATCTATCTAGCCATCTATCATCTTCTCTTTCAATCAATTAAACATCCATCTGGCTACCCATGTATTCTATCTCCCATCCGTCTATCATTTTCTCTTTCAATCAGCCATCCAGCCATCCACTATAATTTATCATCCTTTTATCAATTCCATCTATTACTCAATTAGCCATCTATTCTGTCATCTATTTATCTGTCTACCATGTTCTTTCTCTCTCTGTCTACCCTCTCATGCAATTAAACATCCGTTCGCCCATCTACGTGTTCATTTATCATTTATCTTAATTAATTAGCCCTCCACTCACTCATCTATACCCATCCTCAATTAGCATCCATCCATCCATCTTTCATCTGTCCGTCCATCAATTCATTTATGCACCCTATCATCCCTCCACCCATCTGTTCAATCCCTCTCTTTCTCCCCCTCTATGTATATATTAATTTCCAGTTTAGCTTTTATTTGTGTACAAAAATATATTATCACGAAAACGTTTAAAAGTTAATATAGAATTTCCAATCTTTTCGTAAAAGGCCCTTTTAAATTAATGTTAAGCTACAGGGTTTTTTTTTTTTAAAAAAAAAAGCTTGAGCTCTTGTGTTATTTTTGATTCAGTCTGCAGATAGGAAAAAAAATCACAATTACAATGCTTTAAACACGTTAAGAGGCAATTGCTGGAAAATTTTCCGAGAAAAGAAGGATTCGCGTGTCTCTTCCCATCAGATGGTAGGTTGCCGGAATAAATTCCATCCCATCCTTTTGAAGGCGGGCTTGGGGTCAAAACAGAGTGTTTCACATACCTGTACAAAGATCAGATGGAATAAATGTTACTCTGATGTTTGCGTAGTATAAATGCTCTTTCAAGATACGTTTGCAATGTCATTGAAATGATGAGACAGGCTTTGAACACTGAATGAAATAAATCAGAGCTAAAGGCACTAACCTCATAAAGGTAGCCCTCCGTTCATTTAGTGACCATTGGGAGTTGCCACAGCAATGAAAAAAGTAACTTATGAATTACTGTTCTCACTTACAGCCCCCACGGTCACGTGAGCAAAATTTAGAGGCTTAGAAACTGGCATGTACTTACGACGGTTTCAAAGTCTCAGAGTCCCAGCTGGCGACTTTAATCTGACCCACAAAGTCAATGGGGGAAAAAAAACAGATTCACTAACTAACTTCACGGCTGCAGTGATTCCCTTAACAAATGCAACAGGAAAGGTTGTAAAATAGGGCAAAAATTGCTTAAGAACTGTCTCGCTTAATGGCGGAAATTTGAGCCTCTGTTGTGGTTGTCACCTGAGGACAACCCGTATTCAGATTCTCACTGGAAGCGTCCAGGTCAAACATCAATTCAACCTTAATGCATGTATCTCCCTGCATGTAAGAAGTCTAAATATGTTCCTGTGTTCAGGTACAGCAGTGGTTCTCAACCTTTTTAATCCTGCGACCCCCAACTGGTCGTAAGTCGAGGACTACTCAACCGGTTGTAAGTCGAGGACTACTCAACTGGTGCAGCAGCATCGTTTGCAGAATGGGACTTTTGGCGGGCTCAGCAGGACAGAGACAGCCTGGACAATTCCTATTGGCTTTGGAAAGCCAATAGAATTAGACTCTATTCAAGAGAGTCTATTCGATTGGCTTTCAAAAGCCAACAGAATAAAAGGGAGAAGCACAGCTAAGGAAAAGGGGGGGAAAATGGTGGACTGCATTGTTTGGCAACCCCCGTGAAATGATCGTTCGACCCCAAATGGGGTCCCGACCCACAGGTTGAGAACCACTGAGGTACAGTGTTCAAGGTACATTTGTACAAGGGATCTAGTTGTCATCGTGACTTTTTTTGACATTGTCCTGGTGGATCTCCTTTGTGTACAGGGACATGGCTGTTCATTGTCGATGGAGGTTCTCCATCAGTCAGGTCCTGGTTGTCCCAAAGGTGCTTTTTCAGGAGGCAACTGGACCTTTCTTGTTTTCGTTTGAAGACGTTTCGCTTCTCATCCCAGAAGCTTCTTCAGCTCTGACTGGATGGCGGGGAATGGAAGGATTTATACTCCTTGCAGATGGCTGGTCATTTGCCTTCTTTCAAAGAGTCGTTGAGGCCACTTGGAGGCAATATCTGTGTCCCTTGGGTCACCTAAGTGGTGCAATGGGTAGGGAGCCTTCCTGGATCTGCTATGAAAGGACAGTGCTGTAGAGTGGAGATAGTTTGAGAGAGGGGTCCAAGAGGCCATCTAGCTCAAAATTGAACCGCCCTCTCTCAACAGAGGGGGAGGGATACAACATCACCTATCTATTTCCAGTCTACAACGCAGTCCTTTCAGCAGTTCCAAGAAGGCTCCACGCCCATTTGCACCACTCAGGTGACCCTGAGGACATAGATAAGCCTCCAAACGGCCTCAACGACTCTCTGAAAGAAGGCAAATGACCAGCTGTCTGCAAGGAGTATAAATCCTTCCATTCCCCCACCAGCCAGTCAGAGCTGAAGAAGCTTCTGGGATGAGAAGAGAAACGTCTTCCAAGAAAAACGAGAAAATCCAGTTGTCTCCAGAAAAAGCACCTTGGTGATATCTGTTCATTGTTTCCTGGGCAGGAATGTAGTGTTGTCTCCTTTGGTCCTTGCCCAGGTATCTGCTGGGAATCCAGGTTGATTACTTACCTGCCAAAACTCTATCAAGATCTGCAATAAAATCTTCCAGTTCTTTGGTGTCTCCAAGTTTTGCTGGAAAGGAAAAAACAAACATGAGGAATGTCTACGCCAAAGAAATGTTGGCTTCGTGGTTACTTTCCTGAGAGACTCTGTACTTTTTTGTAACATGGTAAAATGAAGAATAATATTGGGGGCCCTTTTTTGTAAAATGGTAAAATGAAGAATAATATTAATAATAATGTGTGTGTGTGTGTGTGTGTGTGTGTGTGTGTGTGTGTAGGTCTTTGGTTATTCAGGTTTTCTCCCGCGTAAAATTGGAAGGGTCTTGGCCACGTTTCGACCAAGTCCCATTCGTCATCTTCAGGCTGCTGTTTTCAGCTTCATGCTTCAAGGAAGCACGAAGCTGAAAACACCAGCCTGAAGATGACGAATGGGACTTCGTCGAAACGTCGCCAGGACACTTCCAATTTTACGCGGGAGAAAACCCGAATGACCAAAGACCTACATACAAACACCCGCGAAAACCTCAGAAAACATATATATATATATATATATATATATATATATATATATATATATATATATATATATATATCCAACGGATGAAAAGGATGGTCAGCAAAATGGATATTAGCTGACTCAGCCCCTTAATTTGTAACACAAGAGCCAGTGATTCCAGCAAAATTGTCCTTCAATCCTCTGCTATTTCTGCTTTTTTTTTTTTCCTGTCTAAAGAGTCTTCATCTGGCCAACTTCATTTTGTAGAAATCTACAATAGCTCCTCAATAGTGTGATACTAGCAAAGCTCCGAGTTAAATGTTTTGAACTGCCATCATGTGAGAGATAGCTTGGACCGTGGAGATCCTCTCTAGTCATGTCCACACCCCTGCTCAGGCAGGAGACTCTGTACCATTTCGGATAAATGGCTGTCCAATCTCTTCTTAAAAACTTCCAGTGTTGGAGCATTCACCGCTTCTGGAGGCAGGTTGTTCCACTGGTTAGTTGTTCCAACTGTCAGAAAATTTCTCCTTAGTTCTAGCTTGCTTCTTTCCTTGATGAGTTTCCATCCGTTGCTTCTTGTCCTGCCTTCAGGTGCTTTGGAAAATAGCTTGGCTCTCTCTTCTTTGGGGCAGCCCCTGAGATATTGGAACACCGCTATCATGTCCCCCCTCGTCCTTCTCGTCATTAAACTAGACCTACCCAATTTCTGCAACCGTTCTTCATATGTTCCAGACTTTCGTCTCCTAATCATCTTTGCTGCTCTTCTCTGCACTCTATAGCTAATGCTCATAGACATTCAGTGTCTTAATCCAGACTAAGAATCAAATCCAGACTTTCCTAACAGCCAATGGAACTGAGCAAAACTTTCCAAGAATTACATTCCTGGACAGTTCAATGGAGCAAGTACAGATAATCCTTGACTAATAGGCCATTCATTCAGGGAATGCAGTATTGCAGGCTAATTCTGGCAATTGTCAGTAGTTCGATTCTCATCGGCTCATGGTTGACTTCCATCTTTCCGAGGTCAGTAAAATGAGGACTCAGATTGTTGGGGACAAATAATGCTGACTGTAAAGCGCTGTAAAAACATTCTGAAGCGGCATACAAGTCTAAGTCAGGGGTCTTCAAACTTAGGCCTTTTATCTCTTATGGACTTCAACTCCCAGAATTCCTCAGACGCATGCAGGCTGAGGAATTCTGGGAGTTGAAGTCCACAAGTCATAAAAGGCCCAAGTTTGAAGACCCCTGCATTGTGTGATGTTATAAGGTAGAAGAGCAGGTTGGGGCCAAAGCACAGCTGGCTGGGGAATTCTGGGAGTTGAAGTTCACACCTCTTAAAATGGCTGAGGCTAAGAAACATCGGTTTAGCTCTTTCTGAGTTAGCATTATTTTCCCCTCACATTATGTCAGGGGTCTTCAAACTTGGCCCTTTTATGACTTGTGGACTTCAACTCCCAGAATTCTGGGAGGAATTCTGGGATTTGAAGTCCACAAGTCATAAAAGGGCCCAGTTTGAAGTCCCATGTCTTAAATCTAACAAACAAAATGGAGGCTGGCTGAGGAATTCTGGGAGATGAAGTCCAAAGTCATCAAAGGGCCAAGTTTGAAGATCCCTGGTCTACGTGCCCTTGCTCTTCAATGACCACTCAAAGCTACCACAGCATATGAAAAAAAAGTGACCAGTTGTCACACTTAGAATCGTTGCAGCATGCCAACATGGCCACATTTGGGCAATCGTGGTTTTCCTGCTGGAGAATTTTTTTGTTTTTTAAATGAGCCTTCAAACCCTACCTTTTCGAGACACTATCGTGGGAGAAGACACCGATGGAGTGGACGGCGTAGAGGAATGTAATTTTTCGTCGCTAAAGCTGAGGCTGTGTCCACACAGCGAATCTGCACCTGGAACAAAGTGGTCGACTAGAATTAGAAAACAGATGATAATAATAACAACAACAAAAACATTAAAAATAACAATAACAACAACAATAATAATAATAACAAAAACGATATCTGTAATACTATCAAATATCCACATCTGCCTACCCCAGGTCGTGGGTAAGGACTCGATAGGTAGACAAAATGCCAAATCCAGTCTGAACATCTGGCTGACTGTGCGATGATCCATAATAATAATAATAATAAAGTTGGAAGGGACCTTGGAGGTCATCTAGTCCAAACCCCTGCTCAGGCTGGAAACTCTATACCATTTCAGACAAAAAGCTGTCCGATCTCTTCTTAAAAACTTCCAGTGCTGGAGCATTCACAACTTCTGGTGGCAAGCTGTTCCACTGGTTAATTGTTCTAACTTTCAGAAAATTTCTCCTTAGTTCTCGGTTGCTTCTCCCCTTGATGAGTTTCCATCCATTGCTTCTTGTCCTGCCTTCAGGCGCTTTGGAGAAGAGCTTGACTGCCTCTTCTTTGGGGCAGCCCCTGAGATATTGGAACACTGCTGCCATGTCACCCCTCGTCAATCAAGTGTTTGAAATTTCTATCACCGGATAGTTCCTGATTTTATTTCTTAAAAAAGAGGAGACTTGGAGCCGGAGGGCGGGGAGGGGGTCTCCTGAAGCCTCCACAGCTAGCTTAGTAGACCAGTTATCCATATTAAAATCACCAGTTTTAAATATGTGCCAAAGCAGCGTTCACATATAGGCCACCGTTCTTTCCATTGCTTAAGCGTGTTTGTTTGTTTGTGGTGGTTTATTTGTTGCTCCCATCCTCAAAAGGCTTTGGACAAGTCTGGTGGGCTTCCCTTCACCAGAAGTGTCCATGTTGGAGGCTAGATAAGGCCGTTGTTGAGGATGCTTTAATTTCAGCTCTTGCAGTGGGATTCGGTGGTTAAAGAGGCCTTTTCCAATTTTCTGAGTCTGCGATTGCAGTCTCTTCGGGCTGAGGCAAAACCTACTTAATGAAGGGTTTGGAATCGGAAAAAGATGGATGCTTGCCTTGGCCACTGAAATAATTTACGGTTAGCTCCAGTTATTTCTGTTCCGGAGTTCAGCCAAAAAAACCCTCAAGAGCTCCACTTAAATATAGGCCAAGGTCCTAAGCAGCAGTTAACCGCTGCTACGAAACCACGTTTGGAAAAAAACAGAAAGCGAAAGAGATAATCGGGTCTTCTTTTTACATGTTCTTTCCCTGGACACACCCTCACCGGTGCAAAGTGGTGTGATAGGGGACCGAATCCTGCCATTAGCAGCTCCCAATGTTCAGCCTCTGATGGATGGGACCACCAAGTCTTCAGCTCAGGAAAGGTGGGCCTTCTCTGTCGTTAGCTCCCTCTGCACCAGGTAGGAGGGCTCCGACGGGCAAAAGAGCATTTTGCTCCCGAAAATATGCAGAGCTGGATTGTATATAAGCAGTTTAATTGTCAGCCCTTTGGGGCAGGACAAAGCAGGAGCCCTACTTTGTAGTTGTAGGGTACCGTGAAAGAATTGGGATCCTGGCCAGTTTCAATCAAAATGGAGCAACCTTGAGTTCCTTCTTTCCTTCCTTCCTTCCTTCCTTCCTTCCTTCCTTCCTCCCTCCCTCCCTCCCTCCCTCCCTTTCTTCTATTTTTCCCTTCCTTCTCCCTCCCCCCTTCCTTCCTTCCATTCTTTGGTCCATCTTCCTTCCTTCCTTCCTTCCTTCCTTCCTTCCTTCCTTCCTTCCTTCCTTCCTTCCTTCCTTCCTTCCTTCCTTCCTTCTTTCCTCCCTTCCTTCTCCTTCCTCCCTTTCTTCTCTTTTTGATCTTTCCTTCCTTCCTCCTTCCTTTCTTCCTCCCTCCCCCCTCCCCCTCCCACACTTTCTTCTCTTTCCTGTCTTTTCTTTTTCCTTCCTCCTTCCTTTCTTCCTCTCTCCTCCCTCCCCCTCCCCCTCCCACACTTTCTTCTCTTTCCTGTCTTTTCTTTCCTTCCTTCCTTCCTTCCCTCCTTCCTCCCTCCCTCTTTCCCTCCCTTTCTTCTCTTTTTGGTCTTTCCTTCTTCCTTCCTTCCTTCCTCCCTCTCCCCTCCCCCACTGTCTTCTCTTTCCGGTCTTTTCCTTCCTTCCTTCCTCCCTCCCTCCCTCCCTCCCTCCCTCCCTTCTCTTTTTGGTCTTTCCTTCCTCCCTCCCTCCCTCCCTCCCTCCCTCTCTTTCTTCTCTTTTCGGTCTTTTCCTTCCTTCCTTCCTTCCTTCCTTCCTTCCTTCCTTCCTTCCTTCCTTCCTTCCTTCCTTCCTTCCTTCCGTCCCTTCCTTCCTTCCTTCCTCGGGGTTAAACGGCTGTTTCCATCACCACTCTTGAAATACTACTTCTCCTTGTTCCTCTACTATACAAACCAATTAATTATGTTCTAGCTGTTTCCTCCAGCGACTACAGACAAATCTTTGTGCAGCAACCTGGCGGTCATTTGACTTCTTTCCTTATTTAACGCAAGCACGAAATTAGAACGTTAGCTGCTTTATTTGGCCTTTTCATAGACGTTTCCCGTTGGTCAGGAGGAGAAACTCCCCCCCAATTCTTTCTCCATCCGTGAAAAGCTGCTGAGCTAGGAAAGTCTTCCTCGGTGGGAAGGCTCACGCTTGTATCTGCACTAAAAGGTCCCTAGCAATCTCCTTCGTTCCCTAAAAGGGAGCTTGTTTTGCACTAGGCGGTTAAGCAGAATAAAGGCTGCAGGCACCACATGAGTTCACTCATTTCATATGGGCCAAAGATGAGGCCTTCCCTCTTCCTTTACAAGAGTGGTTCTCAACCTTTTTAATGCCGCGACCCCCAACCGGTCATAAGTCGAGGACTACTCAACTGGTGCAGCACCGTTTGCAGAATGGGACTTTTGGTGGGCTCAGCAGGGCAGAGACAGCCTGGACAATTCCTATTGGCTTTTGAAAGCCAATAGAATTAGACTCTATTCAAGAGAGTCTATTCTATTGGCTTTCAAAAGCCAATAGAATAAAAGGGAGTAGCACAGCTAAGGAAAAGGGGAAAAAAATGGCGGACTGCGTTGTTTGGTGACCCCCGTGAAATGGTCGTTCAACCCCAAATGGGGTCCCGACCCACAGGTTGAGAACCACTGCATTACAAAGAGTGAACGTTCGAAGTCTTGGCTGCAGGACTTTACAGCTCAGGAGGAACAGATCCTCTCCAGTGTTAAAAGGAGGCACAGTCACCACTCATAACACCAGATAAGTTGTTGACACTCTAGAACAGGGCTTTTCAACCAGTGGGAGAGGTACCACCTGTGGTACATGGGCACTGGCAGGTGGGACGCGACCATCCTAGAAAAGTGGTAGTGGGGGAGAGGAATGAGCTGAACCGGTGGCAGCACCGCACAAGCCTGAGTGAGAGATGGCTGGAGCTGCAGGGCTGTCAGGGCTCAGCGGAAGCGCCAGGATCAGTGCCGCTTTCCAGCTGATCGGCGCTTCTTTGGGGCTGTCAGGGCTCAGCGGAAGCGCCAGGATCAGCACCAGGCTCCAGCTGGAGCTCAGCACTGATCCTGATGCTTCTGCTGAGCACTGAAGAAGCACCAATCAGCTGGAAAGCAGCACTGATCCTGGCGCTTCCGCTGAGCCCAAAAGAAGCGCCGATCAGGTGGAATGTTGCAGCCTCTCCAGGGTCTTGTGATTTACATTCAGATGCGTGGCAACTGATTCATATTTATGATGGTCACAGTGTCCCAGGATCATGTGAAGTGACCAAAACCTGCTGCAACCACCCAGCAGACGGGGGGGGGGGATAAAAACCAAACACCCCCCCCCACCTCCGCTGCCAATCCCCAACAGAAATGCTCACAACAAAGAAAACCTCGGACAGGAGGAAGCGCGCCACCGGGTGGGCAGGAAGGTGTCTTGCTTGGCTGTGGCTTGGGGGGCACTTTTTTCAGTGCCACTGTAACTTCGAACAGTCACTAAGCAAACTGTTGTAAGTCAAGGACTACTTGTACTTATCACTTTTTTTTTGGTCATCAAGTTTTTGACACCTCGCTAGGCGACTGGTGGTACTCAGATATTGCCATATACTAAAAGTGGTACAATGGGTGAAAAGGTTGAAAATCCCTGGAATAGATGATCCCGTATTGCCATATACTAAAAGTGGTACAATGAGTGAAAAGGTTGAAAACCTCTGGACTAGATGATCCTGTGCCACCTTCCAGTTCCATCATGTGGCTTCTGTGATCCATTTTGAAGGTAACGAAACAAAACAGCAGAAAACAGGAACACAGATCCGAGAGGGCGTGTTTCCTATTTTTTTCAGAGGGATAGTAACGAGGCCAAAGGATCTTCTATGAAGATCCGTCTACGTTGCTTCCGAAATCGTCAGCATGATTTTGAGTGGCTGTAGTAGACCTTCTTTAAATTTGCCTAAAAGGCGACACAGTGAAACTCTGTAACACACTGGAATAAACCGGTTGAGATTTTTAAAGATCGAGTGGTTTGCGAGAGCCATCATTTAGATCCCACAGTCCGTGTAATTCTATTATTGTAGGCATCCAGGCTACCACACAATTCAGTTTGGGGGCTAATTCTATCACTAAAGCCCAGAGACGCTTTGCCAACTATGCTTCGTTCTTGATTTATTACATATCTCGTTTGTTTTATGCCTGAAAAAAAGAGTGGGACCATTTCAAAGAGCGAACTCTTTCCCACGGTGTCTTTTGCAAAAAATAAAAATGAAAAAAAAGGAACCTACGAAATAAAAAAACAGAAGGAAATGAACAACAATTCACAATTTCATCTTTGAACCACGTACTACCTCCCAACACCATCATATCTCATTTGACGGTCAAAGTCACGAAAATATTAAAGCAGCTTAAATCAACCTAAATTCCTTCCTCACAGACTTTTCAACAAAGATTTAGTGCTCGCCACGAAGTTCCCGAAGAAAAAAGTGGAAGAACTGCCTAATTTGTCTTCTTATTAGCCTGATTTATCTGCTGATAGATTTT